AACATCGTTGAAAGATTCCCTTAGGGTTCCCTATGGCAGTGTTATGGATTTGCAGCTGGTGATGCCCATCTCCCTGAGTGGTGCAAAATAAAGTAAAGGGTTACAGGCTCCCTGTTTCCAGCAGTCTTTCCTCTGTGGGTATTCTGTAACTTGGGAAGCAGGCGAAACAATTTCCACCATAGCAGATACTGCATGGCATTGTCTGGCACTGTGTGATTGGTAAAGTGTAGAATCACTTGTTTGGTTTATACCACACAGCAGCTGGGGACAGAGCTGGCAGCCAGTGAGTTTAGAAGAAATAGCCCCAGGAAAAGATAGTTTTTTGTCTGTTTTTCCTCTGTATTACCAGTAACACAAGCATAGCAGCATAACACGTATGTGCTAAAATTAACAATGCTGTGTTATAAGGATCTCTTTTTTTTTTTGAAATGAACTGCTTGTGAGTAAAGCTGAAAAGGAAGGAGGAGTACAGCGTTGTGGAAAGGGCAACAGAAATATTCTTCCAAAATTTGAAATATGAAAACTTGTTGACAAGAAATATAGGTTGGCTGACAAGCAGTATACATAGGGCAGTGATCCCAGATAGATTATGTTTGTTGTTTTGTTTTGTTTTTTTACCTAAACAGCAGAAGATGTGAGGCACTGTGAGCATGTCAACCGTGTGCATTCATGTGGTTGTTACTTGTGCCTGGGGTTACAGTGCAAGGCAGGGAAGAATCTGTCTCCAGGCTCATCCTGGGAAGATGTGAGGTGCAATGCCAAACCCTGCCTTTTCTTCAGACGCTGGAGATGTGAGCAGGGAAGGAGTCTGTTGTCCCCAAAGCACACCTGTCCTTGTAAAGCATGTTTGCTGCTCACTCTGTAGCTGAAGCAGTCTTCCTTGCCCTCTGCAAGGACACCCTCATCTCTGTCTCTCATCACTTCAGGAAGCGTGTTTCTTCCTTGGGTTTCTCTTTGGGCGCACAGGGGCTGATGAGCTGATGTGATGTGACAGTATAGCTACAACTGCAGAAAATACAGGAAGAATGGCACATTTTTTCAGGGTAGGCTCCATCCTGTTCTAACATTTTCTTGGCATGTTAGTCATTAATGGTTCTTGTGTTGTTGTAACTGACTTTTTGATGTGGAGGTTTGCTAGAGGAAGCACGATAGAGCATAGTGGGATACTGGAAAAGAAGTGGGGCAGGGAAATCTTACGTTTTTAAGAATGGTAAAGTCCAGCATGAGAATGCATGCTCAAGATAAGGCATCACAGTAAAGGTAACAGCTTCCAGTAACCTGATAATGTTAAAAACATTGGGAATGTGACATTCACTTGTGTCCTGAACAGCCACCTTGTAGAGGAGGGCACGCTCATCCAGCTGAGGATTGATGCACAGGCTTCTCCAGTTTTCTTAATGGGTGCATGACCTTTCATGAGCTTTCTGCAAGGGTCAGCTTCTTCCAGCCTTTCAGACCTTGTCATCTACAGGAGAATAGAGGAGCTTTGATCTGTGCTTGTCTGTGCATAAACAAGCATAGAAAATGCAGGGGAGATTAATATGGACCAGTGTTTCTAAGCGTTTGGTTGTCATCTCAGCTGTTGATCAGACTCTTCCTCAATTTCTATGTAGACATGACCCCAGAGCACGAAGATAATTAGACTTGGTGAAGCTGATAACACTCCTGCAAAAACCCAAGGCTGAGACTCCTTGTCTCTGCCAAAGAAAATCAATATTTTCATTCTTCCATCACCTCATTGCTCTGTTTAGAAACACCAAGCCTACATTATGCTGAAACTTATGCACATAATTAAGGCTTTGGGACTTTGGAGGTGTTTTCTCCATAATTTGATTGAAGGAAAAGGGTGGCAGGGGTTTTGTTTTTATGGTTTTCTACAGCCTCAATAGAAAAGAATAAAACTAAAAACTTAAGTGAAAAGGATCGACCCGTAGACCTGGCAGCCATCCATGCCCCACAGAAGTCAAAGTCCTGTGCAAGTATTTCCACCCACTCTTTAACTAGGAGGTCAACGCAGGAGTTCCAGTTTAACCAACAAAAAAGGCACTAAAAGATCCCGTATGAAACCAGGGTAGCTTCTCCACAAAGAAATTCAGGAACAGTCAAACTGGGCTCACTGATGCACCTCTGCAAGAAGAGTAGTATCCTCCATAAAAAGAGAATCATAAACTATACTTAACCGCTTAATTTAGCTATATTTAGTTGCTGGCACATTTGAGTGAACTACTTTTTTGGGGCTATAGATACCTGATGTTCTCTGTTGCTTAACAGATTAAGGGAAACACCGGGAAAGGTTTTGTTCTCATGCTGTGCAGCATCTCCCACTTTTGGGATGTAGGGGAGTGCAGGTTTATAGGGTTTTGGCAGCAGTAGAAACCTTGCCCTGGCTTTGGGTTATTGCCATGGAGTGTGCCTGTGTTTTCCTCACTGCTCAGAGGGCCCTCATCCTTACAAGCAAGTGAAATTCCTTCCACTGGCACAGATGAGATAGGTCAGAGCAACATAAAATCGTACCTGAAGCTTCAGAAGAAATGTGGGTAAGGGCTAGAGCTAAGCAGCTTGGCTTGGCCAGATACAATGGCTGTGGTGCTGTTCAGACCCAGGCGTAATCTCCATCAATATCTGTGATATAAACACAAATCTCTGTTTTTGCTCAACAGTGTTTTCTGAGCAGCGCTGGAATTGAGAGTAAAAGCAATTATTCACAAAGTAGGAAGGCAGTACTTAACCTAATAGCTTTTACTACAGGTGGTGCCTAGTACAGAGAACAGAGTAATGACTGCACTGCACATTAAGCAGCCGTCTGAGCTGCAACTGCACACACAGCAAATGTATCTTAAACAATTTCACACGAAGGGAGCCAGCTTCCTTGGAAGGAAAGTGCCAAAGACAATGCTGACACCAATAGCAGCCAGGGGTAGGAGTATTCCTGGGTGCTCAGAGCAAAGGAGGCTTTAGGAAAAACTTTGAGCAAAGAGAGTTTGTATCTTATCTATATTCATCCTTGGTTCCACTTGCTTGCAGTGTTCTCTGTCTTACAAAGGAGATCAGCTTTTGTGGGGACAGCTGGGACTGGGATGGCTTATTGTCAAGTCCCAAATGTCAATGACTAATGCTGATTTACATGCAGATTGCCTCTCAGCTTTATTTTATTTGGTTACTTATTTCTCAGAAATGCTGTCATTTGCTTCTGAGGAACAAATCAATGAGAGGGCAATAAAGAAAATGTAATCTTATTGGCAATTCAGGAAAAAAAAAGAAAAAAGAAAAAAGAAGACGAGATGAACATTTCAGCAAACACGAAACTGCTGGTAGTTTTCCCATTCAGGTGTTTGCCAGATGTCAGTCTATTTGAGAAGAATGCATGTTGTGCTACATCCAGAGCTGCAGTCAAGCTCAGACCCTGCTCTGTCTCTGTTGTTAGCTTTGAAGCTCTCCGCTGTTGGTCTGAACCAAGAATGTCCCATCAGCTCTGCTCCCTCCCAGCTAAAGAAATGAGCTCCTGTAGCTCTCACCATCTGGCTGTCAGCAGAAAAGGATTTTCTTTCAATGGGAATGTCATCTTTCCAGGGTGTTCCGAATTGTATCCACTTTAGTGACAAAATTAAGGTATTGTAGGCAGCCCATCCCTGCATTCGATGCTTTAATTAGGTTCGTTATTTCCCTGTCCTCCTCAGCCTGGGCCCATCGTCTGCTCTCTAATGCTGGGGGCTCTGTGCTCTTTGTCTTTACAGTGGCTTTGCAGTCCTTCCTCCTGCTGTATGAAATGTCTTTGTTAATGGTGATAAATTAGAGTCAGAAAGATAGCAACCTGGTATTTTTGCAGATTTTGTGTTGAGTTTGGAACTTTGTGTTTTGGAAGCTAATGACTAAACAGTGATGAGAAAGTTGGAGGTGTGGCCATTGAAAATGAACTGTGATGCTCCACCAGACTTACTTTGCATAGTAGTTTCCAAAATGCAATTGCACTGCCATCAGTCCATGTTCACATTTCACCCTGGGTGACTTGAATGGGAATTTGGTCCCCAAACCATCCAGAAGTGGCAAACTGCATTCCAGAAGAAAATGGATTTGCACGAATGAGGCATAGATTCAATGTCAGGAGATCTGGTTTTGGTTTGCAGCATGCTGGCACACCTCCAGCTGTGGGGTCAGCTTTACCCCAGCTGTTAAAGATGAGCGGGCACACAGAGCCTCGGGTCCCCATGTCCAGCTCCTTGCTGAGCTCAGCCCTGTGTGTGTGTTGGTGGTACCAGCCGTGAAACCGTGCTGATAAAAGGCCTGCTGCATTGATGGTTACCTGAATGTAAAATCCTGAAGCTACAAAGGCTGTTTAGACTGGGACAAACACTTAACGCTTAGGATTTATTGGAGCCAATTACTGGATGCACAGCCCTAGTGTGAATTCAGGAGTTAGGGGATTTATAAACACGACAGATAAAAGCATGGAGGGACAACCCAGTGTTTGTGGATTTGTAGCCAAACTGCTCTGACGTTTATCCTTCTCATTGTGATTTGGGACAGACATGGGAAATGATCGCTGGCTGATGGTGACTCTGCAAATCGCTTTCTAATGGTGATGAAAATCTTTTATTAAAGATTTACGTAGAGTGAGGGACCAGGTGACAACTTCTGGTGCCGAGTGAATGTGCTTCAGAACAAATGAACGTTTCTAATGATGTGAACGTTCTTTCTTGAGAATTTGTAATAGTTAGAGGATCCTTCTCATTACAGTCAGATATCTAACAACTAATTACTCTGTTGGGCTGCATTCTGCTAGCGAAAGAAATGCAGCAACAAATTTATTTACCTATTAAATTCTTTATGTGTCTATTACTGCTACCAGTCTGTGGCTCCTCAGAAATATAGACTCTTATTGATGGGATCCCAGATGCTAACTAGAATTTAATTTAGTTAAATGGTTTAAGCTACAGATTGTCTTTTTCCACAGTTGTGCACAAACAGAATGCAAGAAAGCCATCATCAGTTGCCTGGGCTAATTTCTTTTTCTTCCTTGCACCCTTCTTTCTTTGCATTGTAAATACAAAATATTTACAATTGTTTATGTAAAATACTGCTTTTTTTGAGTCAAGAAATCTGCTCCCTATGAGGAAAAGCCATAAAGTTGCTGTCAGTGCTGTCGCTCCAGTTGTGACTGTCCAGTGGTTGTAAGACACTGCATCTGGCTCTACTTATCTTTTTAGTAGATTACACTAAAGTGAATCCTTAAGGCTAAACCCTCTAATTTACTGAAACACATGCACATAAAATTACAGCTGTCTCACAAAAGCTTTCATTGATTTGAACAGAGCTGGGATTCATTTAAGTGGTTATAAAACTAAGATAAGCAAACTTTTTTCAAAACCAGCAGAAAAATAATGCAGCAAAACACCAAAACCCAAACAGAGCTAATTACTGGTTTATTGATTGGCTCATCAGCACCTTATTCTTTACCTGTGTGTCCACTGACACCATTTCTCCTGGGTTCCTTGGATCTGTGTGCACCTCGGTCCCACATGGAGGGAAGAATTTGTCAGGAAAATAGGGCGTTTGTGGAGGTAAAGACACAGTTTTGCTCTTAAAAGTGAATACTTATATTGTGTAATGTTCATCTCTCTGAAAGCCAACTGCCTAAAATTTGGCTGTCTGAAGCTGAAGGCAGGGCAGCCCCGGGTTGTCTGCTAAGGACAAAGAGAACCTAGAGGAAAAAAGCAAGAAAGATGATTATTTTCAGGCAGCTTATGTCATCTAAAGATCTAGGACGTAGCCTTGTGTGCAGCTCTGGGGACCTATGTGAAAGAGGGAGGAGAAGAAGGCAGTTTTCCATGAAGACTCAGATGGGTGTGCTCAGCTGTCCTCCCAGGAGCGAGAGTTGTGTTGCCCAGCTCAGGGCATTCGGTGCTCCTCTAAAGTTGGCTACATGTTGGTAATTTCATCACTGTTCAAGGCAGCTTGGGGTGTTTCAGAACAGCCCTTAGGGTGGTGTTCTTCTGCATCAGAAATGTTTGAGAAAGCCACGGAAATCACAGAGAGAAAATTAATCTGTTGGTTTTCTAAGGAGATGGTATCATGTTGGCAGAAGGTGGTGCTGTTACCTGACGTTGCTGCAGATAACTAACTGCCATGTCATGGAACAAAACCCATGACTCGAAAAAAGATGTTTTTTTCCTGCAGCCATAGGTGTGCTACATAAATAGTTACAGATGAGGTTTCCCAGTCCCTGAGATATAATGAATATAATCTTAATTAGAAAACAGACAACCGGGCCAACGTTTCTTCCAACAGAAAGCAGGATATGGGGTGAATAGTGATGGCACAGAAGTAATTGCCTCTGCACGATGGCTTTCCGATGGGGTGGCTGATTTCACCCAGAAGCACGGGGTCCCATGGGTCATACGAGCTGGTCATAAAAGCAGAAAGCAAAAGATGTGTGATACAAGGGATGGCTGGGAGTTTCAGAATGCCTTTTGAGAGTGGTATGCTTTCACACTCAGAAGTCAGGAGAGAAAACCCAGAGAGAGGTTTGGGTTGGAAAAAGCTCTTCTGATTTCTGTCTTCTGCGAGCATGAGGCAGTCAGGTGGCACGTGGTGCTGGGTTGGGTGTGTGGAGCAATTCACACACGTGGCACACATCACTTCAGGGCTCTTCAGAAATATCTCACATCCTGTTGACAAGAAAGGAGACGATTTGTAGCTAATGATACACCGATAACACGAGGCTCGTTCTGAGCCTTTAGAATACACATAGATTGTATTTTCAAGCTCTGTGTTATCATCATAAAAGCCAGAAACTTCTTTTGTGTTTAATGAAAGATTAATGATTTTTGCCTGTTTCTGTGCCTGTAGAGAGCTCAGTCAAGGTTGTGGTTATGATTTATGGCATTGGAGCAGAACGTGCGTGCAAATAGAAATCGTTATGTTGTTTCCTATAATTCAGGTTAACTAAGGAATTAGAAACTGTGACAATTAAAAGCTTTATCTATTTCTGAGTTAGAATTTGGGCTCTTGGTAACCCTGTGCTGTTACCATCCTTGGACCTACTGAAAGTTCCTGATTCAGAAAATGTTTGAAGTGATGAAAGCTCCTGAATTGTCTGACTGTTGTGTAGCAGCTGGAGTATCAACCTGTGTTCCTGAGTGTTGTGATGAATTCTTATATTCAGGAGCTTTGGAATGTCTAGATATACATCAAACTTTTTGAGTGTTGGCTGGAAATGGGACCAAGTATCAAACCTTTTAAAAATCTCTTTACCCATTGCTCAATCCTCAGTAATTTAATCTTGTTTTAAACATAAGCATTTCTAATGAGGAAAATGCTTCATTCATACTAGGAGAGAAGATGGAGCAGTGGAAAAAAAACCAAAGTCCAGGTCATGGAATAGGTATGTCAGGATTTGTGCTCCCTGCTGAATTGCCTCAACAAAGAGAGCAGCAGTGCATCGTGAAGGGCTGGAAATGTGTGTGTGCCTGGTACAGGGGGGGCTGTGATATGATATGCAGTGTTCAGAGCTGGGCAGGTTGGGCTCTACATTTCAGAGATCAATTTGCATCGTTGCATTTTGGGCCATATCTTCAAACTCCAGAAAGCTCAACTTTGATTCTCTTGCTAGAGCAGCTCTGTGGAGGGGCACATAGCCCACAAGTACCTGAATTTAGGTTGGGAAGGTGCCCAGCTCTCCGGATTTGGCTTTTAGAGACCAGAGACCACTGTGCCATCCCTTCAGAGGAGAGAGACAGAACCGGTCAGATGCCATTTAAGATACAATTCAGTGTGAGAGTTAAAGGCTCTTGCAGGATTTTCAGACCTTGAGCATAAGTCTGCTTGCTTTTTTTTTGCTTTTTTTTTTTTTCCCCCAATTGGATTTCACGGTTGAAACTTGGTGTAAGAATTGCGAGGCTAGGGAGCAAATAGCTTTTTATGGAGATTTGAATTACATTTTACACTTGAAAAATCAGCCTGAGCAGCAAGTGGAAGGGCCTGGCTCTCTGTCTGTGCCCCAGTCCTGCTGCTGGCCGCCTGCACAGGGCAGCGCTGGGTGGGGAAGAGAAAGGGAAAAGGAGAGGGAAAAGGAGCACCATGGAGGGGTGGTTGCTTCCTCCTCTGAAGCCCTCCATAGCAGCCACTGACAGAGTTTGTGGGGACTTAGTGATGGATAGATGGAGTGGTTGGCAGCCCTGCCCATGGCAGGGGTTGGAACAGGCTGCTCTTCGAGGTGCCCTCCAACCCAAGCTGTTCTGTGAGGTTAGCTTTGTTTGCCTTCCATCAAGTGATACAGAGAGGAGAGGTGGTTGCTGCTACTTTCTGGATGGCTGCCATCAATGCAGTAACGGGTCATTTGCTTCACCTCAAGTCTCCTCTGCTGACAAATACCACTGCCACTTCAGTAGAATATTTAAGGCCATTAATCCTTACTATTCATCTGATCATGGTGATGTGGACCACGTCCTTCTGTACGTAAAATCCAGCAGTTTTCTGCAGGATTGCAGGCAGTCTGCAGAGCTTCCCGTGCTGAGAAGTGTATCTTTATTTGATTCTGTGATGAACATCTACTGCAGAGATTAGCAAAATTAGCTGTCAGTCAGGTTGTGAAGGGTTCACAAAGTGGAAACCTACTTTTGGTTATGCTGTGAGCATTGGTGGGAAACAGAAAATGAGTCCAGTGGTGGCGTGATCTGACCCTGTAACCGCTGCTACTCAGGTGCGTTCTGTTGGTGCCATTGGAAGCTGTTGTCAGCAACAATCTTTTTGTTTTCACTATTTTTTAGGTGTGAATTGCTGAAAAGCAAACCTTTCCCACAACTAATAGTATTTGCTAATTACCTGTGAAAAAGCAATTATCTCCTGGTGATGCAATTCTTTGGGAAGGCTTTTTTTTTTTTTTTTTTTAAATGCATAATTGGTAAAGAGGGAAGGAATCTCTTCTACAGAGGTTGTTTTCAGAAAAAGCTTCTCAAATATTGTACCTGATGTATCACGTTAGACACATCAGATCGGGTTGCATCAGCAGTGTTGCGTTACGTTACATCACCGAGGTAATGTGCTGTGACAGATTTGCAGTGCAATGTGTCAGCTGGAAAATAGGGAAAGATGTGATTTCCCCAACAAAATACTCCTTAAGCTTTATGGCATTTTCCCCTCCTCCAAGGAAAGAAATGGTTGCTCAGGCGTTGGGGTGTTTCTGAAAAGACTCCGTTACGTTCAGAACAATTTGAAGCTGTTTTGTTGTTGCTATTTTATTTCTCAGTGGATAATTATCTAATCTGGAAAGAAAGATATCTTGTTGTATTTCCGTTACCATTTTATAATTTATCTGCGTCCCCAAACATTCAGCAAAGTGAAGGGGCAGTTTCTAGGAGGAGGAATTCAGCTGACAAGGTGAGGCATCCCGGCAGAAGACTTGGCTGTGGTCCTGCTGGGACGCCAGAGCAGGGCAGGAGGGAATGGATGCTGGATGCACTTTAGCTGTAGCTTTGGAGCTAGAGAGGGCAGAGCAGCAGCGACGAAGGAGGTACACTGTTAAAGTGGGAACTATGGAATCGATGTGAAAACAAAAATCCAAATATTTTGAGCACCTCTTCACCCCCTACGTTGTCAGATATAAAGGCTAGTATGTGTTCTTTTTAGCCATCCTTCATCATGAGCTACTCAAAGCTGTCCGATATTAAGTTCCTCTCATGCATTAAGCTTCACTAAAACCGAACCAATATACAGAGAAGTGCTATGCGATAACGGTGAAGATATCCTCACCGAGCTGTGGAGGGTAAAACCCCAAGCTGCTTTGAGCTTTGTATGTACTCAGATACAAAGGATTGAGATGTTTGCTCTCATTTTAGTGAGCTCTTGTGACTCGGTACATTTGGCACTTCAGGGTTCAGAATAGCCACTTGTTTCCTACAAAGCAATGCCCTCAGCTGTGTTACTATTTGGTTGCTCGTTAGGGTCCCATTTAGATCTTTCTATTGCTGTGCAAATATGCCTTCGTTTCACAGCAACTTGCCTAATGCTGCTTTGTTTGACATTCTTTGTTGGAAGGATCAGGGTTCTGGTGCACTCAGAAAGGAATCGGCTAAGTAAATCTGTAATAGCATCGTTGTTTAAACAGCGCCTTGGATCGCTAGAAGTAAAATTAAAAATGTTGGTTATGCACCTATGGATGCCTTTCATTTTCAGTTCAATAGTTCTCTTACAAAGGGCGTCAGTTGTGTGGGAAACAGTTACCTGCCGTTTTTGCTTACTTTGATTTAGCACTTAAGGACAATACTGAGATTTTACAGCCGGTCTTGAGTGAGGTGAAGTGCATAATCGCTGTGCCCTGGGAACAGCCTGGGAAATGAATTATGGGTGGGCAATTGCTGATCTTTCCCTGCCAACCTCCACTTCTGCTTGCTCTAAGCACGTGTTAAGAACATTAAGAATAAAAAGGTATTAAAAAGGTATTGAGGAGCCCAACATCCAAACATGCTTACGATGTTTCTTTCAGGAATACGCAAAGTAGGCCTCTCACGTTCCTTGAAAATAAGAGCTGTATGTCAGTTCACCTTCAAACTCTGCAAAGTGTTAGGTGCCCTATTGTACCCACATGCTTCAAATGAAGGGGCATCTTGGTGCTTCTGCCACTTGCTTCCCATCAAAACACTGATGTCCCACCTCCCATATTGCGTACGTTGTTCGGATCGATAAAAAAGCAGCACAGTCTTAAGCCAGCTATTAACCTTGCCCTCTATATACAAGTTGGTATTAGCTGCCACTAACCTTTATCCTGCATTCTGAACCCCTACTCTAAGCCTTTTTCCTTAAACCTGTTATTAAGTCTGCCTTTCATGTCTAAACCTGGTGCAGTCGTGCAATTAATTGCTTTACTTAACATGCAAGGTTATAAGTGATCTCTATGATTCCACTGACGTTAAAGAAATAAATGAAGCTGAAGTGATTTTCATTACAAGGTGATCTTTGTGCAGTCTCTGGTTGGTGGGACCAGCAGCAGATGTGTATTGCAGAATTAACATTAAGAGTAATAACTGCCATTGCTCCACAATGGCAGGATACACAAGAACCTGCACGAGTCTTGTGCTTCATTTTATACTTTGAAAGAGCTCCTCAGTCACACAGTCAGGACCTCCTTTTGTGCTCTTCTTTCCTTCTGGTTGCAAACAGCGTCTGCTTTTCCTGTGGTGTTCTGGGAAGTAGAGAAGTTCAAGCAAATGCTTGCAACGAGCAAGAGAGAATTTTCCTACTACAGTGGGAAGAGTAACCCCAGTTGTTCAGTTCCTGGGTTTTAGCCTTTTCTGCTGATGAATTCAGAGGAACGTGAGTTTGGATGTTTTGTCAGGTCAAACCAGACTTGTCTCATGATGAGACTGAGAGAAGTGCTCCCAATGGCTTGGAAGTAGAAGTAAGGAACTTGGTGACACTTGTTGGTAAGTGCCTGATGCAGTAGCATCCCTGCCCAGAAAGGCACGGCTCCCTGAACAGGGAAGGCTGGTAATTCTGTTCGTTGCTCAGTGAGAGGTAAAATTTCACATGATTTTTAGAAAAAAACTTGTAGTGATCCAGAAAAGCAGGTGGCTAAAAAACGAGTAAGGTTTCTGCAGGAGCTTTAGGGTGAGGTTTAAGGTTCACTTCTGGCTAGATCTAGAGAAGATGTGATCGATAGGTATGCCAGGACAGAGCAGAGGGGTTCAAAAAGCTTGGGGATAAGGCTGAATTCCAGGGTTTCGGGGCAGATATTGTATCCAAGTGAAGCTTGTAATAGCAGTGCCAGGAGCATGATGGAAAACCACTCCATCTACTCATTCTGCTTCAGGAAGACGGTGTTCTTTCTTAGTCATGCAATAGGCATACAGGAAAGCAGCAAAAGACTCCTGCAGACAGAATAGCTGCTGACAAAGCTGCAAGAAACCACCTTTAGAGATGAGCAAAGAAACATACAAGGTGGGGAAAAGGGGATGAAGAGATTAGCGAAAATAGGAATTGTCTACCAGGGTTGGAAATATTAACGTGAAGAACAGAGCACAGCAGTGCTCCCTCCTTGGAGAGGTTGCTGAATCTTTGCATTGGTAATTTGCTTGCTTGAAAGTTCTCCCAGGCTTCTAGGGAGGAGAGGCAGATGTATTCTCGCAAGGCAATCAGTGTTTGTGTAATTTTACCTCTGTGTCCTGAGCTGTGGAGGTACTGGGGGTGAAGCCTCAGGGCTCCTACACAGAAAATACCGAAACTTAACATCAAAGAGAGCTCGTTTCCAACCATTGTATCTTCGTTAAGTAGCACATCAGTAGGAGGGCAAAATAACAGTTGCTCTAGGCCTAGAGAAGCTTTTGCATTGCTGCCACCCCAATTATTTCCTTTTTTTACACATTCTCAGCAATCTTTTGCCTCTGTAATTACAGCACTGAACACTGCAGCTATTAGATACAGTCACTAGACTTTTAACAAGCCATCATTATTTGCACTCGGAATCTTACAATTTAAAAACAGTGTCTTTGAGAACGGTGTAACTTCTTTCTCCTTTACAATAACTGCACAGACTCGTGCATGGACATGTGTGTCTAAAAGCTGGTTGCTGCCAGGGGCTTTGATAAGGAGCAGCAAAGAAGCCACGAATAGAGCTGTAGAATTATGACCTTGATTCATATATTCTGGTTACATTATTAGTAGCATCTCAAGATTGGGAAGATAATTGCCAAATAATATCTGCAATTGCCAAGTATCTGCAGCCGTTGAGGTCTTGTGTTGATGTCAGAACAGCGATGTATCATTTGTTTGGAAACCCAGAGAAGTCAGGAGGCAGGTGGAGAGGATCTGCCTTTTCCCAGCTCCCCCTCTCTCTGGCAGTTTCTTTGCTCTGAAAATACTGCTGAATACTAAAAAGAGGTTGTGTTGTGTACAGCCAGGTGAGCAGGGCCGTGGGTGACCTGATCAGCCCATGGATTTCTGTGCTAACCCCAGGTGGTCAGGCAGAGCAGACATTTCAAAACTTATCCAGCTCTTGTCTTACTGTCTTTGAATTTGCATAATTAAAAGTGAATTGCTTGCTGTATTTTAATATATGCAGTGAAAATGCATGAAAAGCTGAAGAATTACAGCAATCCAATAATTCATGTCATGTTCCATTCAGAATTACAGCTTTCCAGTGCCAGCTCAAACACCGAGGAATCCCTGCCACCATAAAACTATAATTGCTGAATTAATAACAGCGGGTTCTGGAGAGTGACTGCAAGACTCTCTGACCCAGGTAATGGAAACACTCATGTTAAAGTGAAGTTGATACATTTGACTTAATCTATGTAATATCAGTCCCTGGTACTAAAGAACATTGCTTTTCCATCCCATAAGAAAGCTGCTGTGGTACCCTTCTGCTTTAGCTTGAGCTACCTGCATTTGTTAGCCACTGGGAACTAGAAATCACATTTTCAGGGATCAGTCAGGTTGCATTTCCTTTTACCAGGGTATTTGTACCCCAGTCTGTCCGCCTGCAGCTTCTGGGAGGTGGAGTTCCCATCCAGCTGCAGAGGGGGGGGAACAGGATGTTGAGGGAGATGGTGAAAGACTTCTGCTAACACCTCATTACTCCAGCATGTATTAACGACTAAAAAAACAATCCCTCTTCCTCTCTTCTAACTCAGGAACAAATTCTGCAGCTGGTGCCACCTGGCCCCACAGCTATGATGCTCCTCAGGGCTGGGATGAAGGGATGCTCTTTAAACAGGATAATAGGTAAGTAACCAAAATTGACTTCATCTGAATGGCATCAATTGTTACATTGTGTGTATGGAGGAGTTACATTTTTCTTTATATTTTATTTTTTTAAAAAAGACTTTCCCTAGTTACTAGAAGGACCTGGTAATCCATTTACCATGACTTCCTCAGGTTTGGTCCTTGAATGTGACCTGTGGTTCTCTACATTTACTTCAGTAGGATTTGATTCTTGGTAACCTTTATAGGCTGACTCAAATCATTAGGGACAAATTGCCCATGTCAAAGGACTTGATTGTATGGTGGAATTGATGTAGTGCATAACTACTCACTTTGCAGAGCTCAGTTGCAGTGAAAGCCAAAGCTTGTGACCACTGAGATGTTGGACTTCTCAGCTCAGGGCAATGTCCCATACTGGGGCAACAGCCTCCCTAAAGTTGTGTATACACTGTGGATAAAAAGAATTGGCAGTTTTCAGAGCTGGCAATCTGCTCCTTTTCATAAGAATTACCATCATTAATTAAAGCATCTTTTTTTTTTCTGTCTAAGTATTTCAGCTCTAATTCTCTTGCAGGTTCATAAATAGTAACACCCCTTTGTCCTGGAAAAAGTTCATTTCTTCTTTTCTTTCTCTTTGTCATTGCCCTCGTTCTCTGTCCTCTCATGGCTTAAGGTAATTAAACTTCCAAAGCCAGATCACCTCTCTGAAATATTTAAGCATGATCAAAGAGATTTTCATGTTTCATTTGCCCACAAAGCTCCTTGGGAGTTTTGAATGCAAAAAGCTTTCTCCTTTCTGCAAATGACTGCAGAAGAGGGGCTGGGTCTGCTGAGGGACAGGTTTGCTATTGCCCAGACCTCGTGCTACCAAGTTACGGTTCAATAAGCAAACATTTCAAGCCTTGTGACTTGTAGGCACAGGAAAGGTATTTAACCTCATTGCTGCCTCTTTGCCATTTAACACTGATGTTCCAGCTTGTACTGTTGGATGTTGATGCTACTCGGAGTTGAAATGTTGCATCCAGCAGACGTGTGCAAGGTGCTCTCTGCAGTTGCTGCATGCCTAACTGCATTCTTGTGGTGGAGTTTGGGCTGACACACGGTGGGGAGGAAAATCTTCTCAAAGAGAAATTTGTAGAGTGAGATTACCCAGAAGAGCTGAATGAAGGACCTGGGTATTTTGAAAAGAAGTATGTGTAAAACTGTGGTGTCGAGGCAAAAGGTGATCCCTCTTTTGATGATTTGAATTTGTGGAGGTCTTCCTAAGCTGACAGCAAGGCAATCCTCTTGTTTTTTCACTTCACTACGAAATCTGCTTTTCCTGTGCAGATATTTAGCTCGCTGGCTGATGTTTTCTTGAAATTTCCTTTATTAAGTGTCAAGCTTTTGTACCAGAAAATATCAAACGCAGCTAAAGGTCAAAGTAAATCATGAATGAAATTACAGAAACTGATGTACAGTGGAGGATAAAGCAGAATGTCAGATGGCAGTTTACGTGAACACGACTCCCAGAACAGAGGCCAACCATGCCCACAGAGAAGCCCTGTGCCCATGCTGCTGAGTCCTGCTCATACTGCTCTGTTGATATCAGATTGGGAGTAAGAGTGAGGTTCCCATTAATTTCACCATTAAAAAAAGTGAGGATTTGGGGATCCTGACTGAATGCTTGTCTTTCAAGAAAACATCTGACTTCAAAAAGCACAGAGATGCCATGGGTACCAGTTATCTCTGGAGGTTTCCCTTTAACTGCAGCTTGACTTATTATCAGGGAAGAAATTATTCCTGAATCTTACTACTTTTTCTTATTTCTTGGCTTAGATGATAAGAGCAGACAAAGTCGAGGCGTTCTGCCTGCTGTGAGCACAGAAGGGCCATCTATGGGCAGCTTGCAAGCTGGGAGGGCCTGTTAGGTCCATCTGAATCTGGCTTAGGAGCAAATCAGTTCCATGAGCCAGAGAGACAATCATGGCATTTTCAGTGTGTCCTGTGGTTGTTTTTTGTTTGTTTGGGCTTTTTTTGAGTGTGGATTAAATGCAGAGTTTGTCTACTTACCAGGCTTCTTATTTTGTAGAATTTGTAGGCATGTGAATACTTCTACTATGTACAGACATATACGTATTCAGAGGCTTTGTGATCATACAAAACTTAAGCAAGAATTAAAGTAATCTTTTCTTTTTTTCTGGATTTTGCAGCCCATGTCTAAAAATAGTTGCAAAAGTGGAGAGAAGGAAAAACACACGTCCACAGATCACAAGCAGAAAAGTAGATATTTTGAAATACTTTGATGGTAACAAGAATGTTGTCTCCTTTCCAATGTCATTTTTTTTTTTTAAAGCTCAGTAGGCAGCGAAATGAAATGTTTTATGGTTTTATCAAGTGCAGCAAAGTCACTGCTATTATACTTGCAATTTTATGACCTGGTAAACAGAAACCTTTGTGCATAAGGGTCTGAGTGGCAGCGGTGTAGAAAACTGATGATTACGCTGCCTTGTGAAATGGGAGCTCCTTCATAGGAAACGCTTGCTACCTGAAGCAGCAACACCTGATATTTGTCCTTGTGGAGCGTGACCCTGTGGCCAACACTGATAGTGAGTCTGAGAATGAGGATAACTGCTGGGACAGTTAAAGTGTTGATAGATTTCTGTATTTCAGCTTGGGCCACATGGAATACACAGTGCCACTTGAAGTGCAGTGTTTCTCCTGGAGCTTTCATGGTGGGTAGATGAGGCTGCCTGCAGGAGGAGAGCACGGGGGCTGAGGGTTTGCACAGAGAGCCGGCGCTGGCTGTTGTCTGCTGTTCTTGCTGTGTCTTTGCTGCACGTGTTACTGGTGCATTTGCTTAGAACATTTAATTTGCAGCAGCCGTAATTTATATTTGTAATTTTGTCTGAGATCAATAAAATAAACCAAAGAGATTTATAGCCCTACTTTCAACTAAGATAAATTGAAACAGGCTGCTTCCCTGAAAAGCTGTATTTAAACGGCACTTTAAAAGAACAAAATGAGATGGGATATTTGCATGCAAGTATGGATAAACAACCCATAGTGTGTGGAAGAAATACTGGGAGGGGTGAACATGGTCAGTGCAGGACTCTCTGCAATAAAGTTGTGGGAAACTTGACTGTAGAGCAGGGTCTGATAGCAGACAAGTAACCATTTGAGAATGTAGTTTGTTTGTTCACAGCAACTGGTGAGGAGTGAGGCAGGTAATCCTTGAAATCCTGAACACAAAGGCATACAATTCTGGTCCTTTGGGAGGTACTTAGTCTGGCTCTTCCCTTTCTCCTTTCCCCTTTCCTTCCTTTCCTCCCTCCTTCCCCTTCCCTCCCATCCTTACCTTTTGTCTTTGGTCATGCTTCCAGTCCTTCAATGGACTTGAATGAAGGCTCTGACAATAGGACTGCCTGTGTCTTTCCTCTTTTGAATTAAAATGGTCCAGCATCCTTGCTCCCTGCCTGTGATTTATTGAAAACATTCAGTAAGAAACAGGAACTATCACCTACGTGACACAAACTGTTTGTTCATTTCCCAGCTGTTAGTATCTCTTTAGCATTACCCTCCCTTTTAGAGTATGTTTTTAATCAGTTGTGCAATTGGAATATATTTGGAGGAATAAAGGTCCCCTTTCTCCCTTCACTTCCCCTTGGCTCCTGGTGTGATCTGACCCTGGGAGGAGACCACTGTTCAGTAAAACAAGAGTCCAGTGGACTACACTCTTTGGAACTTTCCTCACACTCTGTAGCCCCAACAACTGAGACTCTTAACTTAGGATTGCATCCCTGGAGTGCTTGCTGAAGCATAGACCAGCATAACAATGACCCACAAGGTTCTGTTTCACTTTGCATGTGCTTCCCATATATGCATAGTTTCCTTTGGACTTTCTTACCAGGTCCTCTGCAAGAAGCAGGTGTTTCTCCATTTTTCCAGTCTGTGAACTTGAAGTTAAATTCCAAAATAATTCATCATTTTATAAATAAGTTATGCAAGCTGTCATCACAAATCTGTCACTGCACAGACAGGTGCCAACATGAGCAGTTTGCAAAAATGACAACAGGATTGGAATAAAGGATGTCTAAAAGCAATTACATTTCCAGATATTAGGCGAACACAATTATTTAAACTGCTAGTCAAAAACAGCTGATAAAATAGGTAATTAAAAAGATTGACCCAAAAGCTGATTTTAAATTATTCTGTAATATGCACATAATAAATATATTTCCTCAAGTGCTGGAGATTATGTGAGGAACTGTATTAAAAACTGAGAATGAACTAGGCCTGCATTGCAAACAGCAGTATGGCCTGTCATTGTAATAAATCATGCTCCATAGGCACTGAAATAGGAAGTATGACAGTGCTCAGCCTCCGACCACAGCAGTGGTGGGTGACCTGTTGTGTGCAGATAGAGAACAACCAAGCTGGACGGCAGCAGGATGGAGTCATTAGGAAGGAGCTGTTTCAGTAGTCCAATTTTCATATTAAAGTCTTATCATAGGACATCAAAGCCCCTAATTAGGAGCCTGAATCCAGTATTTAATACATTGTACGCCCCCTTCATACATGCACAAGATAGCCTAGTTTCCACCTAAAATGACATCTAAGCTCTTTTTGACACCTAATGAAGGGACAGAATGATTGTTCTTAAGACCTTATTTTCCATGCTGCTACCTGGTGGTGATGCAGGACTGACTTCAGTCCTTGTGCTGTCATACTTCAGCATATCAAAAGCAGGATCAGCAGGCTGTGCTTTAGCTGGGGGGACACAGGGGTGTCCTCATTAATGCATCTCTCTTTAAGAAGCTGTCCTGTGTTATCCTGCACTATCATCTTTGTAAAAATATGGACTTGAGAAACATCAAAACTTCAGCTATGAGCACACAGTATTACTCCATAAATGTATTGGAACTGATTAACCTATCAATCTCTGTTATTCAACTACTGCAAACGAGACACATGCTCCCCTGGAGATTTACCTGGAGTAAGATCAAAAGGAAACTGCTTTCTCCCTTCCCAGCTTGCAAGTTCAAAATTTGTTTCGACTGGTGATGCTGCAAATAAATAAATAAAAGAAGTGACCTGAATAAGTTGAGCGATCCCCTGGGGATCGAGGCAGGAAGCGTTTGAAACATGAAAAGTTGCACCCGTGTTCAAACGAGAGAGACCCTAGTTAATTATTTACAGCAGCTGAAAGCTCATCAAAAATTTAACCAAGATTTATTTCTCTGTGACTGTGCATGAACCACAGTGTGCAGCAATGGGGGCTTTAGCTGTCTTCAGTGGAGCTCTTGAGTGTTCACCTCCCGGCTTGTCGGTGCTGGCTCAGTGCGGGCAGTGAATCCTTTCCTTCTATCTGTCAGCAATGCACGCTATTAGGGTGGATTCAAATTGCATGCAAATAAGTACCATGCAGCATTTGAACTGCTGCTGGGAGGCTCTGAGGTGGCCCTCAACAGACTTCAGCTGTGGTGAGGCTGTGACCCGTCACTGTCAGTAGATGATATCAAATACAAACCCACCTGTGGCATAGCTCTGCTCCTCTCCCATCTACAGTAACAAGCCCTTCCATTTTGTGCACACTGACCGAGCGAAGGCTGAGCCTTTGCCCGTTGCTTTGAATTCCATTGCATTTGTGATTTTTCTTTAATCGTCGCTGTGGAAAAGCCTGAACTGTTTTTCTCATGGGGTTTGTATGCACACAGGCATAACAGAGCTGAGAACCTCAGTAAAAGTGGAACTTCTGAACCTATCTTGATTTTGTTAAGATTAAATTAATATGAAGTAGGACCAAATTATGTTTCGCCTTGAGAGACTAATGAGGAGGGAACAGTACTGTTCTACTACTATCCATGTACTCAATACATTAAATGACAGTGAAAAAGCTTCACCAGCAAGTGGAATAGGAACTATAAATGACAGGGAGTACCTTAGGATTCCTGAAGCATCAGCTTCTTGCAGAGGTTTCAATGATAGCACGTCATGACCAACATCTCACAAGGTCTCTGAAAAAAGAAAAAAAATATATCAATTATCACCATTTCTGAGCAAAAAGGTCACAAGTGGAAATTGTTTTCATGATAAGTGTCTCTGCATTCTCCCAAGTTTCTGGAGCTTCTCAGAACCTTTTATGACTGAGCCACTCTGCCCTGTGTACCTGTGCTGGTTCATCCTCTTGGTCTACTCAGTCATGATACTTAAACCTACTCGAGAAATGGAGCTTAGAGTCAACTGCACATCTTTCTTGCAAAAGCATCTGAAGCTCAGATGCCCCAGGCTAGGAACAAAGCAGAAGGTGCCAAAAAACAAGACAACAGGAACTCCTAATTTAAGTTGAATTCATCAGTGGTGGACCAGCTCCCAACCCCGCTGTGACCGCTCTTCTGAAGAAGGCTACCACTGAACAAGAAATGATGGAGAGCAGGCAGACGAGGGGGGAGCAGGGAGGAAGAAATGGCCCCTCCAAGGTAAGCTGTGCCATCAGACCACGCGGTGGCTGAGGAGATTGGACAGCCCAGCAGGACGAGCATCAGGGACATTAAAATACTCCGCACAGCGAAAAAATTTTTTGGCAAATAGCTAAAATAACCACCCCCTCAAATCATGCTGAATATCTTAATGCTTCCTAAGAAGTATCTAGGGAAAGAAACTGTATGAAGCTTTCATTATCAGTTGAAGTATTACTGTATATTTTGATTCATTTGGCTCAGTTTGTGATACAACAGAGCACAACTGATGTAACTTGGCTTGATGTGACCCCTTGTTACACATACTGGAACAATATCTGCAGAAGCATTTGAAATTACACATTTTTTCAAACATCTATTTTAAGGATCAGTGACTTCAAATAAGCAGTGCTTTTGGGCATATTTTAAAGGCTTATTTCCTGCAATCACGTGCAGGTCATGGCTTAATCCTCATCAGAAAGAGCACACTTTGGGATTCTGATTATTGGAGGGGAGCAATGAAAGAAGGATACACATAGAAAGAAAAGCATCAGAGTTTGCAGACAGAGCCTGGTCTCTGGAGTCTGATCAGTAAATCTTTGATGAGAATTTTTAGGGAGGTGGTTTTTTTCTTCATGTTTTCTGTAACTTTTGAATGCAGCACCACTAGAGGTGAGACAAAACGGAGTCTTTGAAGTGTTGGTTAGATGATGTTCTGGCACTGCTGAGCACTGCAGTGACATGGAAACAGACCTGGAAAGAGCCAGCTGTCCCGGCAGGGAGTGGGCAGCCAACAGGAGAAGCAGCTGAATCTGTTATTTCTTATGAATTACTGAGTGCTGCAGCACTCTGAAAAGTACTTTTCACAATACTTGTAGAAACTAAAGTTTTTAATGGCCAGGCAAGACTCTGTTACTATAAGTGAGAAGGAACAGAGCAGCTTTGCTTGGCCAGATGCATAGCTGCTCTCAAGTGAGGGCTGGCGAAAGGCAGAGGGAAATGTGACAGCTTTCTACGACAGATAAGAGCTGGATTCTGGCCCAGTTTGAGCTAGGTAAGCAAATAATTACCTGTGAATAAATTAGGAAGAAAAATGCTAAATACCCTTATTAATAGAGACCATATGTTTTTGGCAACCAGAAGGCTCTTAAAATTATGCAGCAACATTCTACAGCTCCCAGTCACGTTTCCTACATACAGCTTACACACTCACCATGTAGTGGACAGAATACTGATTTTGTGGGTATTTTGAAACCCTACAGCCTTGCCATCAGTGAATGCATGGGCAAAGCCTGTTCCTTCACCTCAAGCAAACCATAGGCAAAGGGTCAAATATCCACGTTTTTAAAATAATGTAAGGAAGTCACACATTTGGCACTGCAGTTGAAAATGAAGTTCTCATCTTATAAAAGAAGGAGAAAAGGAATTTCCTACAGAACTTTATAGCCTGATTTTCAGACTGAAGTGCCGATACGTTTGAGGCATTGGATCTGACAAAATTAAAAGAGAAGCCAAAAAGGCCAATCTGCACATTTCGTAAAACTGACAAGTGCATTCTAAATTCAAATATTTGGCTATTTAAGCTCAGATTTAATCTCACCACTGTGAAAAGCCTGCTTCCCTACCTGTTACGCTCAGAAGCACTTCTGCAGATGAAAACAGCCTTTCCATCCCACAACCTCTCACAGACACATGCACGCACATTACGTCCCATGTTTAATTGCCTTTCAGAACTGTCTTATCTTGGCACAAACTTGTTGCTGGTTTATCTCTGCTCAGGATAAATGCATACCTAATCTTGTTACTGGATGCACGCAGAGCGGGCAATCTCATTAATAGCCACCCTTAAGGGATTTCTATCCAGGGATCAATTTCATAATTGGAACACAGCTACATCATATATAAATATACTCCTTCCGTGGCACAGCCATTTGCCTGCTGGTCTCATGCTGTTCTGTCTTGCACATCTCATGAAGAATTGAAAAGAAAGAAAATAGAGAATCCAGAAAGTATTTTTAAACCAGAGATCCTTCTTGGAAACTTGTTAGGTTTTCGGATCACACCACAGGCTTACAAGCTTGATTTGTCAGGTTCGCGATTGTTACTGGATATGTAAGTTCTATCATTTTTAGCCTGCATAGTCACTAAGAATAGTTTTCCCCTGCACTGCATTGAATTCTGTATGCTCTTTGTTGTAGCATATAGAACTCTATAATGGGAAAAACCCTAACTTGTTAGCTGCATATCATTTTCAGAGCCAGCAGGAGCTGTAGAGCTTTTAAGAATTAAATTATGTTCATTTATTCACTGACTGCAAAATATCCTACCAAGAGCCTAATAGCTTAAAGGCTTCCTAATCAACTTTACTTCATCATTAAATAATTATGCTTCACATCTCTGAAATACACTTTTGTCACATCTCATAGAAGGGATAGTTAGTGAATATGAGTCATTACCGAGGCTGAGCGAACCATTCATAATTAAACCTGAGCCACGCAAGGCTGCTGGTCTGAGGCTGTGTGAACCTTTCACTGAGTCCGGGCTAAGTTTCCAACAAACTTCAATCCAATTATATCCAATCCACAACAAACAACAAACTTCAATCCAATTATATCCAATCCACAACAAAACAATATATGTTCACTCACTGTACAGCTTCGCTTCCTTTAGTGGGTTTGTTTTCTCGTGACGATCATTACAGCTCAAATCAAATGGGGTTGATTCACCCTCTCCCTCCCATACTGAGGCATGCAGTGAGGATGGGCACCACTGCTGCTCTTGGAATACATACATGAGAAAATAGTGGGAAATGGTGCCAGTGTTTCACCTGGGTCTACCTGTACATAGCTGTGAGGTGTGTAATTGCACACAAGTCTTTTTCAAAAGGAGAACACTGAGCACTGCTAGACAGCTAGTCAGATGGAGAGCAATCACTGTCATAACTCAGAAAGAGAATAGCACTATTAATGAAAAAGATGATGAAATTAAGAAGTGCCAGAAATGTTCATTTACTGTGTTTGCTTACCAGCAGATCACAGGTCACTCAGAATTGAATATCCTCATCCCAAGGCTGTCAGCCACACCACGTCCTGTCCCTGCTGGCTGCACGGCAACGATGGCAACACGTCTGCATGGATGTGGACATGGAAGCCCAATGTGTGTCATCTCCTCTGAGGCTGCTCGAGTTGCTCTTCAGTGCTTCAAGGGGACAGAAAGAGCAGAGAAATAATAAGGCTTTGTATGAGTGGTGAGACTCCAGTTTGTACTGTGATGGCTGTTCACCATTGGATCTACCTCTAACAGATGGGACAGAGATGCAGGCGGGGTGGAGGGGCCGCAAAGGCAACTGATGGAGAAGTTTCTTTGGAGCTTGCCATTCTTTTTGCTTCATTTATATTTCATTAGCCATGAAATTGTGTTTATAATTGTATTAGACAACTGTGTGAGATATTAGATCATAAGCCCAGCCTGAATTAAAGCCATTTTTAATTAGTTATTGATTTATTCTGTTTTGTCATTTTTAATGAAATTACGCCCCTGAATTCAAAGCACTGGTGCAGGTGTGTTATCTTAATTCATAAAACTAGCACTCTGCTTATCTCCTAACCAACCAAGAGAATGGAAGTTGGTGTTCTTTAACACAATTGTGGTATCAGCCACTGCTGTGCGTCTGCACAAGGGGTGTGAAGGCAAGAGACACTGCACTCCAGAACAGACAAGAGAAGGGAGCCCTTGGCTGCAGGCACACTGCTGGGAGGAACCAGGGCTGAGCAAAAAAAAAAAAGGAAAAAAAGGGAAAGCAGGAAAGAATATGCAACTGTAGGAGGTGTGAGATGCTGTGCTTCTGCTGGGAAGGAGCAGTAGCCCATTGTCTTGGGGATGCTACTCTACAGCACCACAAGCAGCAGCTACTGCACGTTGCTGGGGTCCAGCTCAGCCCCAAAGGCTGCAAGGACAGGGAGCAACGCTGCAGCTCAGCCAGACTGTCTGTGCTTTGTCTATGCATACAAATCAGAGCTAAGAGGTTTGGGGTTCTTGGTGGATTTTTTTTGTTATCTCAGATCCGTCAGGACCTCAGCTCCCTGTTCTACTTTTCTACGCCATCCTGTGATGTTAACATACACAAGGATTCACTTGGACTTCAGAAGGACACCTTCCCATGGTGGAAGAGCTGCGGGATATTTCTTGAGGTGTTGCAGACACTGATGGCTTTCATTTAGATAAAAAAAAGAGGCTGTAGTCTGTAAGGCACTGTTGAGGAACATGAGCAGTTCCTCAGCAACCTTCGAAATACAACAGGCTTCTTGCTGGCATTTATCTCACAGTCTGACACCCCAACAAAAAAAATATTTGGACACATGTTCTGAGCTCCCCAAATGCCCAACAATGACTCTTATCCTTTTTTTTTTTTTTTTTTAGCTTCTCCTTTCCTACTTCCTTCCCCCCCCTTTCCAGCCGCCCACATGGTTTCACTCACTGGAACAGCCCGTGGTGAAATCAGACAAACATTTTGACTTTGCCCCCGGCCCCAGTGGTAGCCGTACCTCTGAAGCTGCCATTCACCTCTAATTACACGTCTGCTGAAATCATGCAGAGAAGGAACAGTGTAAGTCATTAGCCCTCCTAAATGAATGTGCAGCTGAGTAGCTAACAAAGGGATTAACACTTGACAGCAGAAGCGTTTCACACTGAAGGGGAGGGTCATCGGGTGACTGCTTATTACACAGAAATAATTGCCATCCAATGCTGAGAGAAACCGATGGCTGCAGGCTGTGTTTACTGCAAAGAAATGCATTTTTTTCCCCTCTGTTTTCTTACCCTCCTGCTTAATCTTCCTTTGCACAAAGCAGGGAGGAGGCCCATTGCTGGGCAGGGCATGGTGGGGAGTGCATGAACAGGTAATGTGATGGGAGCAAGTTCAGTAAGAACTCTCCTGCTAGACAGAAAGCTTTCACCCCTATGAAAAAGCCTTGTATTTTTTCAAGTATTAAGAATGCTACTTCTCTTGTTCCTCTGTTACCATAGCATGGCATCTGGCTTCATGCAATGTTTAAAAAAAGATATAATAACATGATTATAAAGACACAGTAAAAATATTTGTCTTTATCTGTCTCTACAGGTTTAGGGGACTGTGGTCATCCCTGTCACCATGGGGCTGTTCATAGAGTCATAGAATCACTCAGGTTGGAAAAGACCTTAAAGATCATCGAGTCCAACCACAATCTGACCATACTGCCCTTCCTCTAACAACCCTCTGCTATGGCCCTGAGCTCCACATCCAAACTGTTGTTAAACACCTTCAGGGATGGTGACTCAACCACCTCCCTCCGGTGCCCATTCCAGTGCTTAAGAACCTTTCTGTAAAGCAGTTTTTCCAGATACCAACCTAAACCTACTCTGGTGCAACTTGTGGCCATTTCCCCTCGCCCTGTCACCAGTGAAATGAATTACTGAATTGTGTGTGTTTGCTGAAAACACACTGCATGCTTTAACATAATGCCATATGGAAGATCCTGTTTAGCAGAAAGCATGATCTTACAGTTAGGGAAGATTTGGGGTAAGGCTTCCTGCTGGAATAAATTCTTATCACTCTATTGAAATCATTGCAGCTGCTGTGTTTGAAACAGGCTGAGATGTGTTCCCTCATCTTCAGACAGACAAGGACAAAGCAACGAGTAAAACGATGTAGGAGAATTCAGTACACATTTGACACTGAACTGAAAAGTCTCCATGGTGGACTTCTGAGCAGGGATGTGTTTTGCTTTCGTGCCTTACCTGGTGCTGGTTGCAATGCAGAAGGTTGTGTCCCGAAGCAGGGCTGGATTACAACCCACGCAGGATCCCCAGGTGAGCAAGGCTTGGGTCTGGCATTTTTTCCTTCTTTCTTTCTTTCTTCAAATATTACCTATAATACAAGGCAGGAAAAAAAAAACATTTTAGCTTTTTTTGGGGAAAAAAAGCTGCAATTTCAGAGCGAGTTGGTTCAATCATAAAACTTTAACTGGACTACATATACGTAGATATACTTTGACATCTTCAGCCCAATTGAAAGGCAGTGGATTTTAGTACAGGCATTTTAAGCTATCAAATGATAGCTGAGATATAAGTACCACGGAGATACATGAAAAGCACAGCAGCACTGGGGTGGTATGGTACAATGTGAAAAGGGTGTTTACATCCAAACATGACACGCACAGTTGAGCATGAATTCACATTAGCTCAGCTTGCGCTTCAAACATCCATTTATTAGCTCTGGGTGGAAACAGCTATTTTTTCAGTAGCACAGTTCAAGTATCACAAAGGGTTTTTAATGACTTCTATAAACCTTAGCACAGCTATTATTCCAAAGCCTTACACCTGAGCAGAGTTGATGCTTAGGCTTTTCTGTTTTTCACCTCTTTTCTGGCATTCTTTCTTTCTGCGCCTTCAGTGACGTGTCAGTTTTCCCATGACATGCCCTGCAGAGATTTGCAATGAGCGAAGCTGAAAACAAGAACCCACATTCTTCCTCCTGACGTGTGACTATTTCACTACTGTGCTGCAGCGCGCTGAGCCCATGCTCGACTGCAGCATCCTGGGCACACATGGCCACGCAACGAGAGCTCCTTCCACCCAGCACAGAGGGACTCGTGCATGCCAGAGCTGCTCATGGGCAGAGGCTGGAGAGAAGGCCATAGAAGATGTGAATATAGAAATAGGAAATTAATATATGAGGTGATGCACGTCCCACGGAGCGTTTTCCGCTCGCTTTGGGTACTGCTTCCTCTTGTCCGATTAAGTGACATCCGGTTAGTGTGTCTGCCTGGTTATTTAGTTCTCTGCATCACTCTGAGCACTGTAATCTCTCTAATTGGTGCAAAGAAGTTTTTCCCAATAAGGTTAGAATGAAGCAGCTTTTCTGTCTATGCTCCTTCATGGTTCATTTTGCTATCAGCTTCAGAAATCACGCAGAAGGAGTCTGACTTTGTTCCATTCATTCAAGAATTACTATGTTTGCAGCCATAGAAACAGTATTTAGGTCTGGATACAAAGGAAATGTAGTGACCCTATTAATTTTCTGCATCACTGAAATGGAGCTTCTGTCAAATGGGGAAGGCAGACATTGCTGATGCTGAAGAGCCATCCCAGAACCAAGCCTGCAGCACTGTTTGGGAACAAAAGGTAAGAAGAGATGGTTGATGAGATGAAAATGCTGATTATAAGATGTTTTTGGATGAGATAAGCAAACCGGCTTGTAATCTCAAATTCTTAAGTCTTCTTGCTGTGTTTTTACACTATCCTGGGCCTGTTATGTCTGAAAACAGCCCTATGTTTATTTTTATGCTTCAGGCAACATTAGTTCAGATGAAAACACTCTTCCTTGCCCTGATTTGTTAAAGCCCTAAGGTTTATTTCCTCATGATAAGAGGGCGGTCACAGCCTTCTCAGAAGTGTGTGTTTTCTGTAATACAAACACTCCTGAGCTATTTGGCTCTATGTGGTGTCTAGATGTGAGCTGGCAGAGGCGCCCACGTCCTTCTGAGCTGCACCAACACATCCACCCCATGGTTGGAAGAGCTCTGGGTCAGGAACGTGTTCCCAGCAGACAGTCTTGGAAAAAGCAATAAGGCAAACCTGCCAGAGATAAATAGCTGATGTCTTAAAGCAAGGATACTACTGATTATATTGATATTTCTCACCAGCTTGTATTTGCAGTGTTAGAATTGCTTGTACTCTGGCTGGTGGAAATTCCTCTGGTGGTTTTTAACGCAGGATGTCTAAATTGTTTAGCAAGATTCATTAACACCACGACAGCCCCACTGCTGACTGAGAGCTTCCAATGGCCACTTCACAGAGCCATCCTGAAATGATTTGAGTCAGTGAGAAAAGGACAGGAAGGACTGAGGCATCCCCAACTCCAGGAGAGCAGCAGGCATTATAAAGAAGGAAAACATTTTTCATTTTTATAAGGAATAAGGAAGTGGAGAATGCGTGGAGCTTCAAAATGATGTGGTAGCAGAGTCCTAATTGTGGACAAGGTACTTTTGAAATACTGTGCTGGTCACCAAAGGGGGAAGGAAAGTGCCTGGCTCCACACGAAGTAAAGGTTTAAATTAGAGACTGGAAAAGCTTCCTAATGAAGAATACTTTATCAGTGAAGCTGGCTGCTAAGGGAAGATGTAAAATATAAGCTCTAAAGGACCAATTAGACTAACACCTGTCTGAAAGCACAGCAGGATTCTGCCTCCTTGCAGCGAAAATGGGCTTAAAGCCACTATGATATTGCAGTGCTACTGCAGCCTCCAAACCCCACTCACATTCAAAAATCTCATTTTTGCTATGAACATATATCCCCACACTGTAAGGAAGTCCTTTAAGCATCCAGCATGTCTTACCTGTAGTCTGTCTGGAAAAATAACAATTGCAAATCTACATCTTGTCAGATCAAAGTCCTCTTATAACCAAGTCACGAGGATTAAAGTTAGCTTCATTCTTCTGAGTAGAGCATCCCTCCCAAGCGAAAAAGGTGCATTGTGACCTGTGAGCTGGTACTGCATCTGAGCTCACTTAGGGAAGGCTCACTCCTATAACCTTCTTTATTTAGTGGAGGGGTTTGAGGAAGAAGATCCTTGAGGAGAGGGACGGGTTATTTCCCTGCAGCTCTCAGTGAGATACGCAAAGGTTCCCTAACCTGAAAGGTTAGGGAAAGGTTCCCTAACCCTAAAGTTCCCTAACCTGACTGATTTGGTTTCCTGGTGCACTGCATGAGCAGTGTGGACATGCAGTTCACAATTCTGGGTTTCCATCCAGAAGCCAGGATCCTTCATGCCACACTCAGTGCTGCTTCCCAGGCCTCCAAATCCTTGACTGCATTCTTAGTCAAGAGTTACAAGAATGATAACAGGCACTGTAAGTCAGCAGTACCCCTTTGATAAGATAAAGCAGCTGTGTTGGCTCTGGAGTAGCTTAACTTTAGACTTGGAGTATGATGAATTATTGTTTAAGGAGATGCATTCGTAATTCTGTTCCTCCCAAGCAGGTGGTTGATATTTTGAGATCCCTGCTGTATCAGCACTGTGTATATTTGGCATAGAAATTGCATGAATATTACAAATTCTATATTTAATTGAGTCTCATAATGAAACCCTGTAAATCATAGTCAGCCCATCAAACTAAACAGGAAATTGATATGTTGAGGTGTTAAATAATGTTGTTTCTTTCCACCCCTACAGGTTATACAAAACTTGATCGCTTCCCTTAAAAGGCAAAAATGATGGCAGCCAGACATAGTTGATGTAGTTCTCTATCTGAAAGTAACATGAAAATCCTCATTCCTAACAAAAACGTTGAGTAACACGATAAAGCACCTTTACCTACAACAGCTTCCTTGGGTCAGGTCTCAGACAGAGCACGGTGCCAACTTCTTGTTCAGGCTGCATCCTAAGCTTTCCTACTTTTCCCTACAAAATATTTTTGATTCTCTTGTACAAGTATTTTGGAAGAAAAAAAAAAAAATAAATCACAATAACATATGCAGTAGTTGGTGAAATTCCTCCATTTACATTTACAAAGGTCAGGCAAGTGCTGGGTGGTGAGAACTAGCACTGCTTCAACTTACTGGGCTGCAAAAATCCTGAGTTATTCTGCTTTTTCTGAATGAGAACTAGTGCAGGACTATACTCATACAGCTTGTCTCTGAGGTTATGGCAGAGGAACTAAATCCCAGGAAACAGAATCATAAAACAGCTTCAGTTGGAAGGGACCTTAAAGATCATCTAGTTCCAAGTAAGAGACAGTTCAAACAAGTGTGAGTGTGACCTAGTGAATAAGTAAAATCTACTGTAACACAATGGGAAGCACAGCAGTGACAGCAGGCCAGCAAGGTCCTAGACTGCAGCAAGTGAAGGTTTGCTTAAATGCAACAATGCAACAGCTGTGGGCACAGAAATAAAGGAAAGAAGCTGCTTACCTTCAGAAAGCTTCAGGTACACAGGGATTTCCAGTGATATCCTCTTGCCTTCACTGCCAGCCTTTAAATGAGGGCTGGGAAGAGGAGGATCCTGGTTCCACCCTTCCATCACTCAGTGCATTGCATTGCATACACCTGAGCACCCGTGGGCTGGCTCTGCCTTCCCACCAGGTGCTCCATCACTGCTTCAGTGGGTTTAAAGCATGTTTATAGGACTAACACTGCCTTCACTAGTAGCATATTATTTTGAGGTTTTGGTACAATGAGGTACTATTTGCACCTTTATCTCTGGTGATTTTATCGCATCAAGTCAAACAAGCGATGAGACTTGCACTCAATGAATAGAGTCCATTATTTTGCTGCATCTGGCTAATTGAATACAGAGAGCAGAGCAGCCTTTGGCACCTAACCTGCTTAGGTGCCTTTTGCCTGCAGGGTTCTCTTTGTGGATGAGGACAAGGAGCTGTGCATTACACTGCAATTTCTTAACAGGCTGTTTCAAGTGCTCTCTAGATGTACTTCCCCTGCTCCTCCAAACCCTATTCACACCACTTCTTTTTACTGCTCTTACAGTGGAATTCATCACAGGCTATTTTATCTGGGTGAGAGCTCAGTACACACACAGGTCTGAGTCCACACAGCACAAGTACAAATTGCGGGGCTGCTGTCCAAGGCTGTGACCTTGCTTATCAGAAAGCAAAATGCCAGGGGAGTGACCTCGATAAGCCCAGGTGACCCCAAAGCATTGCACCCCAGGCAACTGCAAGTCTCAGTGTGCAATAGGAAAGATGCACACTTGCTTGTCGCAGGTCAGGGAAAGGTCCTGCTGGAGATGATTTGCAGATACGTGTTGAAAAGCCTCTTTGCTACAAGAGACCAGGCCACATATGGCAAGGATGGTTCTTGTGATAACGTTTTAACATGACATCTTTGTTGTGCAGTATAATGGTGATGCTATAGGGAAGCAACTCAGGTTAGCAGCCCCTGTGTTGAGTGTAAGGGAAACAACAGAGGAAAGGGTAATCTTCACCTGCTGAGGTAAGTGCTTGTCACTGCCCCTGAAAAAGCAATTATGGAAGATCAAAACTAAGCTGGTGAGAGCATAAGAACACATGATCTCCACTGTGCTGGGGGAAATGGGAACTGGGAAGCACAGTCTAAGCAAATGTGGTTTTCCTATGGAACATACCTACTTGGTTTTCTTGCCTATCAGAAATGATCCAAGGCAAAAATTGACCAACAGTTCACAAAGAGGACAAGTGGGGCTCTGTACGTACCGAGGGGCTCACTGCAAGTATGAATACTTGGAGAATTCAGTGATTGTGAATAGCATCCCTTCAACATGCAGGACTTCATGATGATGGGGTAAGAGCGTATGCTTAAATGTAATTTTCATTTATTACACAGAGAAAAATCCTAGTGCCCACCAGAACAGAGCTTAAGTTTTTCTGTAGTAGAAATCAAGAAGTAACTTTGCTAAAGGCACTGGTATTAGCTAATGAAGTTTGAATACATTTACACGTACTAAACAATACCTGCATACACTCTCCTATTGAATTTTGGGGGCTGTTTTTACAGCAAATTACTGTTCTGCCCAAGTAAGTTTGTGAGCATCTAGGTTTCCACTAACTAAGATTGCATGTCTATTAGCTTATCCAAAAGTTACAACACTGCAATATTCCTGTACTACCATGCACTGAAGACATGTCCCTGAGAAATTATTCAGTAGAAAGATATAGGAGCCCTATTTTCTCAGTAACAGCAAATCTGTCTGAAGCACAGCAGTTTCAGTGACAATTCAGCTCTTGGAGCAGAATCCATTTAACTTTGGATTTGGAAAGGCCAGTGCTGGAACCTAGGGAGCAGATCTGTCACTGGATTATAATGGGGAGGCTATTTTGCAAATAACCTGTTCTCTGAAACTGCTGACTGCAAGATGCTTTAGGAATATTGACATTTTGCCACAAGTACAGAAACCTCAGAGTCAACTCCCATCATCAGACAACTTAACAACACATTTCACTTACATAAATGAAACAATTCCCTGTCCTCATAACAATTAGGAGAACATCTTTCAGTGATTATGCTACCCTGCAGCAAGGAGAAGGGTATTGATCCAGGCCTACATTTCATTTACAAATTATGTTTGTATTATGACTCATATTAAGGGCTTTTTCTAGGGAGAAAACAGGGGATTATAAAATACTATTAAATATTGAGCAGATGGCTTCATCTCAAAGAAAAAACATCCTTTGATAAAAAGTAAAATGTTCAAAACGACTTGAGAGCAAGGACACTCAGCACAGCGTTTGTGCTGTTTGGGAGCAAGCCGCCTGAGAAAGGAGCCGGTCAGCTCATTTCACACTGCTGTCGTCTAGGGACTCAATCAAGGGGCAGTGAGATAAATAACATCTCAGGAGGTCACTCCTACACCAAAGAGTTCTGTGTGGTTGTGCATGGGGAACTGAATCGAGAGAGGCTGAGATTTTTTGCCCCATAAATCACAGAGCCTTTGGTGGCACTGGGAATTGAATCAAGATTTTCAGTGTCTACTCAGCACCTCCATCTATTCTTCAAAGGTTAGGACCAAAGGGGATCTGTAACGATGGCAGACTCTCCATAGGATTACTTTGATAACTGTTTCAGTGCTGTGAAGGATTTACTCCCCACTTTGCCTCTTTGAAGCTAAGAGAAATGCAGTATGCCCATGGACACCTTCGTCTCCACCTTCCCAGCCCTGCTCCTTCCTGCAGACACAGCGCTGCTGCTACAGGCAGGAAAGAACTGGCTACAAGCAGAGATAATGCTGCCACAAGTGAATGAAAGGAACGAAAAAAAGCCAAGTTTCACTACTGGAAACACTGCTGACAAATTCTGTTAATATTTCAACAGATGACCCCATGCCAGTGTCTTTCTGAAGTACTGCAAAGTGCATGCCACGTGTCAGCCAGTGGAACAGCCACCCAGAACAACGAGTGCTGCCCTTCCTCCCCTCTCAGGGTGATTTGTTTCCACATCCCTAACGTTTCAATATTTTTATATTTGATTTCTGTGGGATGAATCTCATCGCCTTCTCATCTCCACAACTGTCAGAGGGCTTTTTAGCATTCTGGAGATATTCCAGTCTATTGTCATTCTCTATGCCACTGAATTTTACAATCACAATTTCTTTTTTTGCAGTGGTTGTGCTCATGCGCCCTCTTTTTCTGAGGTTCAGAGAGGTCTTTCACTTCCTGAAACTCAGTGACAAAATCTATCCCAAAGGCCAAAGCCAATCCTTGCATTCTAAATACAAACATGAAAAAACAAAACAAAACAAAACAGCTAATTAGTCCTAAATTAAAATTCAAAAGGAATATCCATTATTTCTGGATTATGTACATGCACCACCTCCTTTACAGTTTGTGATGAAAGATCAGCCACTGTTCCCAAGCACTGCTGAGAATACCAACAAAGCTGTCACGAGACGATATCTTGATCGAACATGATGACCTTTAAGTTGGAGCTGTAGAAGCAAACCAGATAAGAATCATTTTCAAAATACACACAAAAAGCACTGCAGTGGAAGGGAAAATGATTATTCCCACACTCTTAATTGTTTTGAAAGGTTGATACTTTTAAAGTAGATATTATATTAAAACAATGGGATTTCATGTCATGCTGACTATGCTGTTTATCTTTCAGTGAACTTTCTGTTTTTCCATTTAAGAAGCTGTGCTGATTTCTTTATGCATGCTTCTCATTTTTCTTCACATATCGTATGGTCAGGACAAAAATGCTCACAGCAGGAATTGATTACTAGCCAGTCACTTCAAGCTACGTGCTCTTCCTTCCTCATAATTGTCGAATAACTTTCTGTCCTTTTTCTTTTTAAAAGGTTTCTACCAGCAGACAACAGCTGGGGTCGTTCTTATTGCTTCTGACTAATCTTGTTTTGTACTATCAATGCACAAAGCAGCCCTCTACTACCTCAGTGCTTCTGTGTACAGAAGCTCTTGGGCAAGGGAAAAGGCAAAAGCAAAAACATCTACTTGCACCAAAATTACATTTGCTTCTCTTTAGATTTTGATCCTGCTTTTACAATTAGACTCAAGTGGACTAAGAGAGTTGGAGCCAGGGTCAAATTTTGTCGTGTTTTTACGTAGTGCTTTACAAAATGAATTCCTAATCCTCGATTCTGACTGCATGGATCATCTGCCCTAAATATAACAAATATTAAAATTCAGGCTTTGCTGATGTCAAACAGAAATGAGAGACTGGGAGGACGAGCAGAGTTGAGTGACCTTTCCATGTAATCCCAGGTTGGATCTATAGATTAAATATATTCTCTTCAAACAAATCCATTACCATGAAAACCAAAATCAGCCCCAGTTCTTGACTGAAATCCTACTGCTTATCTCTTTCCTTTTTTTTCCCCCAAAGATTTTTCTTCCATTTTTCCTCCTCCTGTGGCCCATGGCAGAAGCTGAGCTCCAGCTTTGACAGCTCCAGCTTTGACAAGTGAAGCCCATCACTGTGATTGCAAGATGGAGAAAGATATGTTGTTTATCTGAAAAAATATCTAAGAAAAGGATAGAGAAATCCAAATTTCTGCATCCCAGCACAGCCAGAGCATTGCTGTGTTACTCTGCTGCAGTTCCATATAAACACCCACAGGGTTTGTTTGCGATGCTTTCCTGGTAGAAGGAGATTTGAAGTTTCTAGCACCAAGATGTGAGTAGTTTCCATAACCCTCTGAATGCAGCATAGCTGGCAGATTTGAACTTGAAGTTTAATCTTACCTGAAAGGCCGAACTTCCCAGTTTGGGTTGCCGTCTTTATCTCTCGACTACTTGTCCAGACCACTGATGTGACTTGATATTCACATTAGCTTGCATTGCACAAGTGGAGAACACAGCATAATCTGCTGCCGAATGTACTTGAGGCATTGCATAACCTGGCTGAAGTGAGGCCAGATGTTTACTGAAGATTTATATCCTTGATGCTTTGATTTGACATCGGTGACAGAGTAATCCAGAAAAGTGCTTGCACTGCAATCTCTCTCCATTGCCAAGGATCTACAGAAAAGAAAGAAAGTAAAAAATGTAAACTAGGACCGCAGCTACACTGCTGCTTCCCTCAGAACTGCAGTAATGAGGTCATGCTGCGCCATGAATGAAAGCTGTAAACCACCTTCCATGGAACAGTAGGTTACCAGGTCAAGTCCAATAAGTGCTAATGCACAGCAATTTTTTACTGTCCCAGATCCAAAGCGTTATGACAGCAGAATCACAACTGGGATTCAGAAGAATAGAAGAAAAAACCCCAAACATTCCCTTGCTGGCAAGGAAAGGTAAGAAAACAGTGCAGAAGCACAGGATGCTCTGCCTGCAAAAATAGTTATTCGTATCAGCTTCTTTTGACTTACTCGTTTGCTTCATCTCCAGGTTGGATGTTTAGAATCAGTGCCCACTGACACTAATATCAGCATTGAGCCTAGTTTTGAGGGTATCACATTGCGGTCACTGATTAATGCCTCTCTCCTATTAAATGCTTTCATTCTTTCAATGGAAAAAGTACGGTAGGGTCTATCACAGAGGTATCTGGGCTTTTATCCTCCTTCTGTCATGAGCTCAGAGGCAACAGCTGAGAATAGAGAAATGAGCCATAAAAAAGGTGAGCAAAGGATGGCATTTGGATCACTGCGCATCAGAAATGCCATTCAGGACCAGAATATTGTCTTCACTCAGCAATGACATCATTTTGTCACTGTCTTCAGTGTTGCTTTACTGGGCCCATCAGAGCTAGCTGGACACAGCACTGCTCATCCAACCCCTGTCAATCACATTCTAAAAATAACATTCAGCTGTCATCAAGTTATTGGAATTCATGACTATTTTATATGCTGCCCACCCTGCCTGTTTAACCCCCACATCGTGTCCTAGGTGACACCAGAGATTTCAGGTTCATACTGAACCCCAGGGACCGGATAACTCTGGATGATAACCATCATACATGTACACGAAGGAACAGTGGAAAGGAAGAATTAACGAGTATCTGCCACCATGGCTTGGTTTTGTACTGTTTGCATTATTTTCACTGTACCAGTTTCTGCACTGTCCTGCCCTTCACCAAACCCCGTTGTTGTGGTTTGCAAAAAAATGTGTCTGACTTTTTCACTCCCATCCCTCTGGATTCCAGCTGGGATCAAACACTGAGCATAGCAATCACACACACAGAAACTTGTCTGTTTTTGAGGAGTAACACTGTAGATATTTCTCACTATTTTCTGTATCATAGCTTAATATAACAACCACTAGTGAGAGATAAGATACACATAGTGCAGAGCCCCTGGTGTTGAGCATAAATCCAGCACTGGCTTGCAATGCACTAATGAGCGGATGGGAGCCCACCAAGGGGTTGCAGCCTCAGGGAGAAAAGGATGCTGAGAGCAGCTGGAAGGGACAAGCTCCTTCATGAAGCACGTAGCTGCCATGGGGACGAGGCCTCATGGAGGGCTATCTGCATCACTCTGATAGCATTCCTTTGGGTTTTGGTTGCATGGGACCTGCATGAAATCTAATGGACACTGGCATGCCCCCCTCCCCTCTACTGCAACTTCCTGAGGATGGAACCAACGCCCAGCAGCTCCTGCTGGTTTGCATCTCACCTAAATCCCACTGAGGTTTGTCAAAACCCCAGAGCTCTCAGACACCTGCAGAGGAGGCACTTTCTATGCTCAGCCAACAGCAGATAGCCTAGATGATCTTGCCAGGAGCAAAACTCTTGTTAATTCTCCCATCTCGCTCCCTAAGATATCAAAACAAAGTACCAGTGCAGCAGCTCACAGAAGAATGACGACACAGAGAAATTTCTAAGGTGTTGGGAAAAAGACTCTAGGTTCACTTAAACAGCTTCTCAATTCCTGAAGGAGATACAGCATGCAATTCTGCCTCGGCAAATTTACACTCCTTCTTCCCCCTGTGCCCTTGGTGAGCTATATAAGGCAGCAGCAGGTTTGTCTGAAAGGCACAGAGGATTTGTACCCAAATTTTCCTCCCACATGCATTTGTAAGATAGTCTTTGAACAGACACTGTCAAAATTTATATATTTTTTTCAATTCTCTTGTCTTTCTTTCTTCTTTATTGTCTCTGCAACAGCTGGCAGTGCTACTGCCAGATGCCACCAAAGTCTACAGATCATCAAAACCAGGCCAGCCCTCACCCTAGGCTCGGAAGAAGGATGATGTCTCATCAGCCATAGGACACAGAGGGAATGAGAGACAGATCTTGCCAGAAGTTGAAACTTTAACGAAATAATCTCTCAACTAGCAGACATACACACTTCCTTTTTTTTTTTTCTCAATTGCGTTCTTTGGTGGCAATTCATTTTCTCAAGCAACTGTTTGTGTGACTTTGCACACAACTTGCAGAATGTGTCTAAGCTGTGCAGACAATACAAAAGGTGGGGCTTTCCAAGTTCTGTCTGAAGTCAGAAAAGAGGCTGTAAGAGTTTCTCCTTACTGGTGGCCAAAAAAAAATGTATGTTACTGTGATGCAGCATCCAGCCTATGAGAAAGACATTTCCACATTGGAGTCTTCTTACCCACCTGCCAAGGTTAAAGCAGGCTGCTCGAATATCCAAAAGGATGCACACCAACATGATATCCCTTCTAAATCAATCAGATCAGTGGATTTTTATCCTTTGGTATGAACTCAGAGCAAGGCTCAATCACCCCTATAACTACGCAACCTAACCGCTTCTCTACCCCATTAGAATTGGCCTGGTTACACAGCAGTGTGTCAAAGCTACATGATTTTCCAGCAGATGATTTGAAGTGATGTCTCATTTGCACTCTGATGTGTCTGCAAACATCCACAGGGTCGTGGTGGAGCTGCCCCTTTGCATCACAGAATCATAGAATTGCTCAGGTTGGAAAAGACCTTACAGATCATCAAGTCCAACCTCAACCTGACCATACTACCCTAACTCTAATAACCCCCTCACTAAGCCCCATCATGGAGCCTGAAGGATGGCAGAGGATTGTTTTCCCAGGTACTGCCTATTCACTGTGAGCTAAAGCTGAGAGTGTCTGCTAATCCATCTGGGAAAGGTAACAGCAAGCAGCCTAAGCCAGAGCTTGAATGGAACCTCGCCAAAAGTAATCCAAGCCAGCAGGGTCACTGGAACCCAACACGAGGTGTCTCTGGGGACTGCTCTACTGCACACATACTTGGATCTCAAAAAAGACAAGAAGGCTCTGGAGGGGCATGGATCAGACCAGCTGAGCAATACTGGGAACTTGAGCACTGCTGCAAAGCCAAAGCTTTTTTGTCTTATCATTAAAGCAAAACAGTGCAAAATGACAGAGAAACTCTGATCCAAATCAATATTTGGAAGAAACTGTCAACAGAGAACTTAATATATATGCCAAGCTTCCCCTTAGGAGCAGATTGATTTTGTACAGACGTTCCTGAGTGGGAGATGCATCCATAAAAACACGCTGTCCCTGGATTTCACAGCAGCGTAGGATCTCCTTACTGAATTAGCTTCCAGGCACAGCTCAATTCTCTCCTCTTCCCCTGTGGCCAGTTCTGAGCAGCTTCCCCTGCTTTGTCTCCATAGGGGTTAATTCCTCTCTGCTACGCAGACACTGGGATTGCCCTGAGACTTTCCACAGTAAAAAGTGGAAATGAAAAGTAGCTCCTTGCATGATTTGTGGAAAATGCAAAATACAATAGCAGTAAAAATAGTAATGAGCTCATTAGAATTGAAATGTCTCATTACTACTGCAAATGCCAATCATATACGTGGCCAGGTTCCTGATGGTGCAGGCAGTCCTTTAAACACTGTCCTTCCTTGCTCCAGGGATACAAGTCAGATATAAAAGCACGTAATCCTTCCTGTTCCTGGGCTGCTCTCCTTCCCTTGGTTCCCAGAATAGTGTGGTGCAGAACATAGTGCCTGGAAATGGTGATTCTGTGATTCTGTGAAATGGGTAGAACACAGGGCCAGATGCTCACTAGAGGCAGCACAGCAGAGCAGTCCTTCCCCTTCAAACTTACATTACGGCAAGAAAATGGAGAACTACTGGAGAACTACTTTCTATTGGCAAGAAATGGTTTGAGCACACAATGGGAAGATGCACTTGGAAGTATTTTAAGCGGGAGAAAAAGAAATTTTCATCAACATACTACTAATGTATTTGCAGATGAATGGCATAAACTGGGATAATAATGCAGCTTCAGAAGTTTTAGGCCAAGGAGTTGGAGCTCAGCACACAGAGAACATTCCTGCTCATTGAGAATACCTGTCTCCTCAGAAGGGGGAGAGCACAGCATCCTCTCCTCCCTCCAGTCAGGTGGTGGGGTTTCCTCATTTCCAGTGGCTCAGGCAGAGAGCTGAGAGCACACTGCTGGGGGTCATCCTGGGTGAGAGGGCAGCCTGAGGATGGGATGCAAAACCGAGAGCTGGCATGGGAAGGGAAGGCATGGTGCTGGCAGCCCAGCTGCCTCCTGCCAGGAGAGTTTGGCCACCAGCACTGGGTTCTCCACGCTGCAGCACCCAGGCACAGCATGCCCAAGCCCTGCTTGAGAAAATGTGCCTTTCACTCCCTATTAAAGGTCCATATGTGTACACAGCATGAGAGCTAGAGCTCCTCATGTCAATGCATTTATCTGTGCACAAAAGAAGATGATTATCTTCATTTTATAGATCTGGGATTATACTTCTGAGACCAGAAAAGGTCCCAGGAGAAGTTTGGCACCTTCCTCCTGGCAGCAACCAAACCAAGGCTTAACCTTTGCTGCTGAGTCAGACACACAGCTCTTAGCCTGCACAGAGCTTCTCGCGGATCGCTCCTTTTCTCAAGGTGCGTTTATGTGCCTAAGGGATCAGACTCTACAGGACCTGGATTTTAAGGGACCTCTGCAGCACTACAGTCCCTCTGCACACACACGTCCCCGCGTTGTCTCCGCAGTGGTAGTGCTGCAGTGGCAGCAGAGCAGGGGGCTGAAACCTCTGCCCCCCTCAGGCCTGGCTGTAATTGCCAAGCAGTTCCCCTGAGTACAAAGTTCTTTTGTCATTTGTAATCTAGGCTACTGGGATTGTGCAACTCCATCAAGATCTGCAAGGTAATAATGAGCGACGCTCTTCAAAAATGTACTTAAGGCTGAAAGTGTTTAAAGATGCTCCAGCCTGCAATTACCTATTACTCACTGGTGCTCTAAACGGTTCATTTTTCACATCATTCCAGGAAGTTGTAACTTCTTAAAGCAATGTTTCTGGTAATTATGGGAGAGCAGTGACAGCAGGCACAGAGCATTATCTAAGGCTGCAGCAGAGGCAGAAATGCCACCTTCTGCAGATGAGGCGGTGAGCGTAGGAGCACAGCAAAGCCATGCAGCCCCCAGTCTGACTGCTTGGCCTGGCAGTGCTGGGGCCATTGGCCACTCAGTGGGACACTGTGTCTGAGCCTGCCAGTGGGATGGCTGTGGACAGGGCTGGGAACATGGCAATCTCCAGGATGCAGCCAGCTCTGCCTGCTGCAGTTGGCCTGGGAAGAAGGGAAGGCTTCGGGGGATGCTCTTTAGGCTGTCTAGTTTTAATTTTGAAACGTAGACAAAATTGGTAAGGCAGCTGAAACCTCAACAATCTGCTTGCATGTCTGCAGCACTGCTGAGAGCTGCTTTACTTACTGCATTCATGCTTTGTTCTGATAAATATATCACTTAAAGGAAGAAAAAAAAAAACACAAATGAAAAAGAGCCATAGGCCCTTGGGACATCTCCTCTGAACCAGGCAATGCAATTGCAGGACTAAGCACTGCAGCTGTCCCACTGCCTCCTCATGTAACCCAGGGCAGGGAATGATCCCTACCAACGGCTGCATCTGGCTCATTGATCGGCATCACATGAAAACCAAAACTTCTGTGGATGTGAGCTGCCTTGCTTTGGAAACGCACCTGGGATACACGGAAAGCAGGAGTTTTGCTTCTGCTGCAGGGAAGCGACTGATGGCACAGTCACATTTGGACTGGAGGAGCCATCCAGAAAGAATGTCTGGTTCCTAACACTAACTTGGCTCAGCATGCAGATTTGGAGCTGCTGGTATCGCATCTGTTGGCTGAGAAGTCAAAGGCAGCAGCACGTGAGTTGATCTTCATTTTCCCCTAGGTAGTTTAGAAACATATCCTATCCAGGTTGTATTTTTCCACTCCAAGCATGTCTGCGATGCCTCATTTCCCTGTGCTCACTCCCCTGGCTGAAGTGATGGGACCACATCACCCTGCACTCTCCCAGCCTTGGCTGGGCTTTCCCAGCCTCATCATGCACGCACACCAGGCACAGGTGCTGCTCCATGTGCCAAAGATGCATCCTGGGTGCAAATCGTTTCAGCACACAGAAGGCCAGCAGGACTTCAAGGCCCAACTTGTAGCTCATAGGAACATCAAAGGGCAAGTCCCAGTTTCCTGACATTTTCCTCATCTTTCTATTAGGGGTCTCATCACAGCTGACTTTCCTATGAGCAAAATAAGCACAGCCCAGGCAGTCCAACTTCCTCAGCACCCAATTGGGCTGAAGCAGAAGAATTGTGCAACATCTTCTAAGGTTTGATATTCTGGGGAGGAGAAACATCACCTCTAGGAATTCAGCTTTATGGGATACTCTAATCCAGAAGAGATAAAAGCATTTTACTAATTACTGCTGGGTTTTGTTTCTTTGAAGAACTGGGTTAAATCCCTTTTGAAAGTAGAAGGCTGTTTGTGCTCGTCAGATGTATAATTTAATTTATTTAGGAATTCTTTCTCTTTCAGGGTTTTGTTCGACCCATATCTGTGCACTTACTCCTTTCTTTTCCTCTCTTTTCTCCCCAAAGATAGGAACTTTTGCTTTACTCTACATCTCTTCTCATTATTTAGCAATAAACATCCTTCAGTTGACGCATCTTTTTTTTCTGGGGGTGGACAAGGCGAGTATTTCTTTCTTTTTCCTCTTGAAAATTCATTTCCTTATTATGAAAATAAAGTGTTCCTTTTTCTTCCCAATTTAATAATCCTGAGGTATTAATTCGGAGACGCATGTTTACTGACTGAAACACGTCTTCTTGCTACACTGGAGAGAAAACTCTCAGCATGTACTTTGGGGAGAAGAAATCATTGGAATCACTATACTACAATTTATCTGCTAACCACTGCTATGCAACACTGCAGAAGCAAAGCAAATTGGCCTGAAGGGGAACTTGGGAGGTTGTTCAATTCATATTACTTCCTCAGGTCAGGATCATCAGCCTACATCTTTCCTAACAGATGTTTTTCTAACCTGCTCTTAACAACCCCAGTGATGCCACGTGCACAGCCCTCCGTTGCCATTTCTATGAATATTTCACTGTTCTCATTGTTAGAAAGTATTTTCAAATGTTCAACCTGAATTTCCAGAGAGGCAATTTGAGCCTCTGACTTCTCATCCTATCCACATATATTTGAACTTGCAAGTCCCTCCAGCTGAGGGAAACGGTCCAGACAAACCCCCAGGAGCTCTCAGCACTTGTGATGCTCTGCAAATATAGCCCAAATTTTGAGAATCCCACCCACTGAGAGCTACTCCCAACATTCGAACAGAGAACAGAGTTGTCAGCCCATGCCTGGCAATTATTGAGGCTTTGCTGTGTCAGTGGAAAAAAATGCCTCATCCATCACACACAAAGTCACACTGCACTTAATTGCTCAGCTCCCTTCTCTCTCACCCCACTGCTTGGCAGGACAATGTTCTCCATCTCCTCTCAGGTTCTGCACTGAGATGTTTGAATATTAACTGAGTCCTTCTCCTGCACTGAGAACACAGCTTTGGATGGGGTATTATAAATTAACTCTTTGTTCTGCAGTATACGACCTGGAGCTTGCTATACAAATAAAGAAATCACTGATTGTCTGTCTTGTTTCTTATCTGTAGGATGGGAAAACATATACTGTTATGGAGAATTCTGGCAGTTGCTGGGGGTGCTTAGCTCCATCTTTCTGGCCCTCTGGAACAGTGGCAGTGGCTTTCCAGACATCTGCTAAGCAGGGCAGAAAACAGCTGGGGCACAGCTATTTTGCTGCTCCCAGCAGTTGCAGCAATTTTCTCGCCCCTAGCCCTGGCTCTATCTGGTTATTAATTTCTGCTTTCAGCATTGTTATTACTGCTACTATTCTAAACAACAATGGGACAAATTCCTTCTCAGAAACAGATTATTTTTTTAAAAACAAATGTTACTACATCCTGCAACAGCCAGAAAAGAAATGCTCTCATTGTATGAGTGGATAGAATTCCTTCATGCTAGATGGTGGGCTGCTAGGAATGACACTCAAAATAAATCGGGAGTCTGGATCAGGCAATGCAGGGAGTCACTGGCTTGGGCATCTGGACATGTTGGCTTCTCTATTCCTGGAGCAGTAGTTGCCTCAAAGGCACAAGCCCTAAGAACATGGGGGTCCCACAGTTCGACTGCCCAAACTGGCAGGAAAGCAGGGAGGATCTATCAGACCACAAATGGGCAAGGAATTGAAAACATTTTTTGACTGATGCCGAATGATTGTGCAGCTGGCCTCAGGAAAATTAAATGCTGAACAACAAAACACCATCATTTGGGGCCAGTCAAAGAGGTCTTGCTCAGCACCAAGACGAAACAGTTTTGGTTTGTTTGATCCTCTTAAACAAAAAAGAAAAAGAAAAATAGCACCGACAGATTTGAAAATGGGGCATTTGGAAGGAAAAAAGGAGAGAGAGAGAGAGAGAGAGAGAGATGAGAATACTTTGCTTTCTTTACCAAGTTTTGATCATTTGGCAAAGCTTACCTCAAGACATTTTCAAAAAGCTGCTCAGTTCATCTCAGTGTGCCCCATGCCTGGGGCCACAGCACCTCATCCCAGCCAAGGGAGCAAGAGAGCTTGTGCCAGGGGAGGTCCTGGGGATGGATGAGAGAAAACATGATAAGGAATGGTGCAGCCACATCAACACACCTTCATGTATGACTCCACCAACTCCTGGTCATGTCTGGCAACCCTGCGATCCTTCAGTCATTTGGGTAAGGTCTCAGATTCCCAAGACTGAGGTTTTCCTGTGCTCAGCATCAGAGAAGTAACAAAAGAAGTCCCAGCCCTAAAGAGCTCATGTTTTGCTTTCATTGCCTGTTGAAAGGAGCCAAAGAGCTTTTGCCTGGAAACCCCAAGACATCTCCAAGACGACATCCAACTTCTGCCTTTCTGCAAGGCACGAATTGTGGATGCTGCACGACTGCAACGGATGCTGTCAGGCTGGGGAGCTGGACAGACCTTGTCTGGTGGAAGGACCACTTGTTGCCTCTCTTCCAAGAGAAAAGGCAATACAGGCTCTTTAAAATGAAGCCCTCTAAGTCACATTCCATCAACATATCCTATAAGCACAACCTCACCAGGCAATACAAGGAGCTGTACACCACAACACAAAGAACTCAGAACTGCTCAGCCAAGAGAAAGCACATAGCAAATGGTAATGTCCACTGAAATTATTTACAAATGATCACCAACTTGTTTTGCTCCTTGCCAGAGTACCACACAGCACTACCTTAGTTCATCCTCCAGCAATGCACCACACAAGGCAGGACTGGTGACAAAATAACCCCAACACAACAGTAAAACCACTCTCACCTTAGGTGCCATCTCACCTCACAGCCCCCCAGCTGTCTCTGGAAGATGCCAGTGCCCGGTTCTGCCCTGCCAGCAGCCTCCCCAGGCAGCCGAGCCCTGCAGGCAGAACACAGTCACCTGCTAAGGGATAATTTAGAAACTTGTTCCTTTCTGCAAACACCTCAGACCATGGGGGGCACCTGGGCACTCTTAGTTGCCTCTTATCTCCCCCATAGAGGCAGAGCCATGCCTACTGTGGCCTCTTCCACCCACTCACTGCATCACCCCCAAGAGAGTTGACTTCCCAGCTTTCTTGAAACCAAAGTGTTTAGCAATCTCTTGTAAATACTGAAATAAATCTAATTATTCACATAACTGGGGAAAAGAAAGCCCCTGCTGTTTCCCAAAAAGCAGGCAAAACAACCCATTGCAACAATGCAAGAGAAAAACATGTTTGCTATCCCAACCCCATATGGAGTTTGTTAGAAAGCCCCTCAGTTCTCTTCGGCCTGTTGCCAGCCCCACACCTACGTTCAGAAAGGCACAACGCAGCAGAAAACAAAACAAAAGAACCGAACCAGTGAACTCTCCAAATCCAAACACTGTTTGGGCAGAGCAAGGTGTCCATCAGCTGCTTGGGACAGCAGTGCAGGTGGGATGGGGTCAGGGCAGATGGGCTGCTCTCCCCACACACCGCCCCGCAGCTCAGAGCTGACAGCAGAGCAGCGCAGTGAGTGGCACTGCTTGGTGGCATCCCAGCAGCTCAGTAATCAATGAGGAGTAGAAATTCCTTTGGCTACCAGCCCCAAACATGAACTGCAGGCTTGCAGGTCCCTCATATACGCAGTAGAGGACACAGAGCAGAGCACAAAGACTTGCTTTAAAGTACTTCATGTTATCAGATTTTCCCTAACGTGCACAGGGAAGATGGATGTCTCTGGGTCTCTGGGTCCTGGTCATTCTTTCCTCTTTGTGTCTCCTGCCTCAGTTCTGCTCTCTGTATCTCACTTTCTCTTCTCTTGCCCTGGGGTTCCCTGTTCACCTGTCCCATCATGCAGGGACAAGCTCTGCAGAGTGCTGTGCTTTCCCAAGTGTGCACATCCCCGACCCCTGCCAACCTGCTGCAGGCAATGAAGAATACTAAAACAATATATACTTTTTTCCTTTTCTCCCTTCTTAATGGCTTCTGCTCTCCTACTTCCCCATCTGAATGTTTGTGCCCATAGGTGCCCTCATGGATCCAGGGCTGTTCCCTGGGTCAGGGCAGAGGGAAAAGAAAACCCCAAACGCGCTCCTCTATCAGGATCAGAAGGCAGGAGGGTTCTCCCCAAGCAACTCATGGGGCTGTGCATCAACAGTTAAGCTATTCTGGGAGGCAATAAGGACACGAAACTCCCTTTCCCAGATAGGGTGAGTCAGCTGGGTCGCAGCTTGGTGGAGCCATGGAACTCAGACAGTGCAGTCATCTCTGCAGCAACTGCATTAACTCCTTGTCGCTTGTTCTCAAGCCCAGAAATAATGGATAGCAGCTATGGAACATAGTAAGTTATGATTTGCTTCTTTTTTTTTTTGCTAAAATCATGTGCAGCTTCATTATATTTCTGTCAACACAAGCCACCAGACAGACAGATTCAAGGAAGAACTGCCCCGGATGCTCACCTTCCAGCAGAACAGAAAGTGCCACGTGAGCGGCCAGCTGAAAGCACAGCTGACAGGTGAGCAGTTGGGGCAGTTCTTCTTTGAATCAGGGCTCGATTCCTTTGCTGGCCACCTGCCTGAGCTGGAATTGCCAGAGCAGGCCCACGTTGGCTCTGTGCCGTTGCATTCAAGGCTGCAGACTTGCTCATCATGGCTCAGGTCAGTTATGTCAAGCCTCAGCCCGCAGCAGCTGCAGGGGAGGCAAAAGCCTTTTCCTATTGCGCAAGGCAGAGATGTCAGTGCTGCAGTCCCAACGTAAATCAATGCTGGAAATTTGAAATCAAGACTTTCCTCCAGCGATGAGTAATCTCTTTGCATAATTCCCCTCTGCATGTTTTGGATACAGCAACATATTGTTTCTCCTCTAGTGGCAGATTTTGAGAGCGTTTTGCTACCAACTCAAGTCTAGTTGGGCTTCAAGTCTGCTTCATGATAAATGAAAAAATTGCTCATATTGGGAGACTTGAAGAAATATACAAATGTTTTTGGAGGAATGAGTCTCCCTTACTTTGAAACATATGTTTCCTCCTTTGTAGCTGTTGTGTCTTTGTTGGATTTTTTTTCAAGCTTCTTAGCAAACATGTTGCCACGAATGTTGATTGTGGTTCAAGCAAAGAGAGACAGCAAATGCTTTCAGAAAGCCAAGTTTTAAAAAGTCATCATGGTTGATTCATCATGGTAAACACCTGATTTATATATCTACTGTCCCTCAGATGAGGGCATTACCACATTGCCCGAGACCGAAATGCCCAATAAAAACAGCTATAATCTTGAGTACCAAATGCTGTCGATGATCTACCTACCATAAACTACTGAACTGGTCATAGAAAGGTTTGCTATGATGACTCATTTCCAGGAAAGTTATTAGCTCCTCAGCTGAATTTTAGGTGGCAGGGGGGAGAAAATGTGCTAAATAAGTCAAATAAATACTACAAATTATTCATCCTCTTCTGACATCCGCAGAGATGACTGCCAGCTGCATCCACCTCCCTCATTCCCTCAGGGGAGAAAGCAGAGAGGCGAAAGTAGAATAAGACTTCTTGGTTCCCCTGGAGCAACAGTTATTAGTGCTTCCCCAGAGCACCCTCCTGCCACCAGGATGTCAGAAGAGGTCAATCATGTTCAGGACTTTACAGCTAAATGCAGATCCAGTTCAGGAAATGGCATGTGAGCAGAGCAACTCATACATATGGGAACAAACAGGGATTTCTGAGCCTTCTCTGCACCGAATGCTGCTCCAGTCCCACTGCCTGCAGTTCAGATTTTCATCAGCGGAGACAAAAGCCTGACAGTGATGGAGCTGTCAGCAACAAACTCCCACCTGCACCCACCTGCTCAGGCTGCAGCAGCCCTCTTGGCTCTGGTCAACACACAAGCAACTGTAAAATTGGTCTGTAAAATTTTCAGTCTTCTGCAGATTCAGTCTCTATTGAGACATCTGTTACCTTCCAGGATATGCCTCTAGGAATCTTTCCTTTAAAATTGTTAGAGATTACATCTGACAAGGTTTAATGGCCAGCACAGGGTCTGTTTTGTCTAAATCCATTAAAAACACTGGAAAATAAGACTTAACATTGTGGTCCAGCCCAGGCTGATCTTTGGTACAGGAAACACTGTTTCCCAAAACTCATTTGTGCACAGCGCAACACAGCATGTATCCTTTCCCAGCTGATTTCCCACCCCCTCTGCTCCAGATCACACAGCTGACTGTGGGCTCAGTGAATCACAGGACTGTTCTCTGTACACAGTTCCTTTCTGAAGAACACCACCTCATCCTCATTAAAAACAGCCCTGCCATCATTTGTTTTCTTTCTGCTACCCATATGCTCCTGAGCACCTTTATTAGAAGCTTCGAGCTTGGAGTTAAGAGCTAATTAAACTGACAGCGCTGCCTCACTGCAACTCATTGCAAAACAATTCAAATTCCATTTGGTCTAATTTCTCGGCAGTGAAACCAAGCAGTGCTGGGGAGAGGAAGATACCTGCAAAGCAGGGCAGAGTTGCATGCCTTCACTGCTGCTGTGCACGGTGCTGCAGGGCGAGATGCAGAGCATGCTGGAGGGAAGGGTGGGCATCAGCTCTGTGCTCTGCAAAGGGGCAGCGAGGCTGGGGACACAGATGGGAGAATCTGCTTGAGGTAGGAGCAGCCTGACTAACACTGACCCAGGGAACTCGGTTCTTAATTTGAATTGGGAAGAGAAGTGGCTTTGGATTTTTTTCTTCTTAACAAAACATTTTAAATCACGGCACTCAACATCCCTATTTTTTTTTTCTCATTAAAGTTATTTTGCATTTAAAATGATACAGCACGAGATCTTTGAGAGGCACGTGCAGGACAGCTGCTCAGCAGCCACCTGCTCAGGTCACCACGCTTTGCTCACAGCACCCGCAGCTCCGTGCAGATTGCTTGTGAAGCCAACAGGAATCGAGTCAGCCCTGACACTTGCTTGTGAAAATGCAGAAGGACACGAAAGCCATACTCATACACCGAGATCATGGCCAGGCTGGGGCAGCTCTGTGCCAACCTGAGCAATTCTATGATTCTGTGATTCTTGCTCAAGTTGGGATGCAACTTCAACACCTCGACTCCCTTTTTGGTTTG